TTATGTTTTAAATTTATTTTTATTATTTAAAAAACTAATTTTGTTCGTAAAAAAGTCTTAATCCTAATATATAAGAATATTCTTTATTAAATATTTTAGTTTGTATTTTACGCTATCTTAATATCAAAGATATTATTTAATGTTAATGTATATAAAAATCTTTTTGGTGGTTTTTATATTTCATTTAATAAAATTATGTTAAATTGGTATAAATTATATATATATTTATATATTTATAAATCGGACGTCTTGCCAATTAAATCTTACGTACAAATGTATTTTTTAAAATTAAACAATTTTTTTTAACTTTTACTATTATTAAGATAATTTACTTAAATTTTAAGAAAACATTTCACAAATATTAAATTATATACAGTATTTATTATCAGCTTAATATCAGATGCAAATTGTTTAACAATATACAGTAAATGTAATGATAATACAGAAATTATGTGAATATTAAATAACAAATTAACAATTGATAATTAATAATAATTATTATTATAAATTTTTAATTTATAGATAACATCTAAATGTATAATTTATTTTAAAAGATTTCTAATATAAAATAATATTATGTTAATTATGTGTAGATTTTAATTTAATTACATATTTTGCTATATTGACAAATCCCAAAATATTCTATCAAATTATGTTACTATTGTTAAAATGTCAATTGTGGCAAATATGCTGTCATTGGTAATAAATGTCTATAATTATTTAATATATATAGCATTGTAGTATATTATTCAATATATTTATATGTGTGATGATATTAATTTCATAAACAATTAATTAAAATATCAATTTCATTCAGTATTACAAAATAATACCGGTATTTGAATTATATGACAAAATTGCAAAATTTAAATGTTTTTATAATTAAAATAAATTGAAATCTATATTATATTATAATTTATATTTTAGTGTATTTACTTATATAATTGTGATAACTTACTGCTTTTACCGTTTATAAAATATTGTCACAAATATGTATACTATAAAACGTTAAATAACATCTTAACTAAATTATTATATTTTAATATTATTTTAATGATAAATATATTACTTGTTGTTTTCAATTTACTGTAATTTTGTGTAAAAATAAAACAAACTTATAATGCATTCAAGTGTTGTTTTTATTCTTTTAAATCATTTATATAAATGTATAGATTTTATTAAATTGCTAAATGTAAGTATTTTTATCTTAAATTTAATGTTTTATTTAATATATATATACTGTATTTATTATTGTAATTAGATAACAACATATTGTAGATTTGACAAAATAACAAATTATTTATATCTACAAAATATTTAGTTTTATTATTAAAAATATACACAACTCATGATTTTGTTCATATACTGTATAAAATGTTGTTTATATCTAGAGGTTTTATATCTATAGATCACTAAGAAAAATAATTTTTTTAAAAGTTCATAAAATTTTTTTAAAATATCCGAGTCATGAATCAATAAAAAAACATTTTACTTAAACTAAAATTTTTAATAAAATTAATTTATATTTCTGAGATACCATAATATTAATATATACCATACAATATAATAATAAAGTAAACATTCTATTATATAAAGATTTTATCAAATAATTTGTTAAAATATTTTAAGAAATTTGTTATTTGACTTTTTTAATTGTATAAACAGTCAATTAAAATACATTGATTATGCAATTTGTACTTACAGTATATAAGGAAAAATCTAAATTATAAATTAATTATTTAAGAAAAATTAAAATCAAAATTTATGTATTTTATTTTATTAAACAAATTACTTTTATATTGAGAACAAAAACTTTTGTCAGTATACAGTATAATCTCAATATAATGAATATGAAATTTATTATATAATGACAAAAGCGTTTTTCCCAATTTACAAGTAATCTGTTTAATATATTGTATGGAAAAATTATCAAGCTGATAATATAGAATAGAATCGATTGGTTTACAAAATACCAAGATGTTTTTTATTATCATTCATTATATTCAAAGTTTTAAAATTTAGATATATTTGTATTTTTATTCAAAAAGTAAAAGATTTTCTAAAAAATCCTAAAACACGTGTCCAATGAATTTGTACCTAGTATATTTTACAATTATTTCTAGTTTGATATCTTTTATAGTTTTCCAGGTTTCTCATCAAATTTTTAATGATTGTCTCAATTATTTGTTGAAATATTTAACAAAAACCAGTTCACACCATTCTGTCAAAGACTTTATTTATATATAATTATTTGTAAAAATTAATATATTTTATAATTAATTACTTCACTATCTATTAAAAATTTATTTATTTAAACAAACTTATTTATTAAAAATTTTATATTAATGTAAAAATTTAACAATAAATAATTACATGAGTTTACTTGTATTATAACTTATATACAATATGTACAATATATAATAGTAAAACTGTATAACTAACTAAAATAATACTAACATATAATAATATTTGTATAAATTATATAATATATAGGTTTTTCCACATGAAACAACGTATTTTACATAGAAATTTATAATTTGCATTATAAGTCATCAATTTTTGAAAATTAATATTAATTAGAGTAAATTAAATTTCAATCTAATTATAATCACATAAGTTGGTCCTACTTTTCAAATAAATTTAAATCATTGTATAATTCAAACTTTGTACATACGTTCTTAAACGTAATAAATTGTTAATATTATTTAATTAATATTAATTAAACCAATCTAAAATTCAAACTAGTTAATATTTAATATGTTAATTTAACATGTCTACTTTATTAAAAAAAATAAAATTAAAATGTATTATACATAGATTACTATCCATAATCACTCTTTTAAATTGTACGCCAAAAAACGTCGATTCATATGAAAATGTTTATTAAATGCTAAATGTCTTATAAAAATATTTTTACGGTAATTAGGAATCTATAAAAAATTTTGATGTACTATATATTTAAAAAATATTAAATACTGTTGTATTAAAGTATTGAATAAACATAAACTCTTATATTTGATATTAAATAAAGTATCAAATCTTATATATTGATTACTGAAGACAACTTTGTTAATGAAAATAAAAAGACGTAAAATTTATGCCTTAATTGAAATTTCAAAATATTGAATCAATTTGACATTACATTTGTCTTTAAGTAAACATCAAATCTATCACACATTTGACAATATCGACTAAATTTGATCAATATTTGCTATATTTGCAGTTTTCCGACCATTATTTTAATATACAGTTATTTCTTTTATACAATTTTTTCTAATAAATTTTTGTGTCATTTTTAATTAAATATAGTACTTATTAAAAAGTTTGTTATCTATAAATTAAGTAATATTTAGTATAATTTATTTTTATTATCTTAAATATTAATTTAAACAATAATATTTAACAAATAAAAATATTTTGCTATAAAATTCTATAATTATTTTATTTAATAAAATTTTATATTTAACAAAAATTAAGAATAATATAAATTAAAAAAATTGAACTTAATTTAGAAACTTATTTAAACTAATGAAAGTAATTTTGAATTACATTAATCTCACAAATGATAGATTTGTGTTAAACAAGTAGTGGCAGTAAATGTAACAGAATTGACATTTAATTCATTTATAAGACTACTAACAGTAAATTCATTCATTAATGTAATGCTTTAGTGTTATGTAATTATCAAAAAATAATATGAAAGCAACTTTGAGGTATACCTTATACAGTATATACTTATTTAATGTCATAAAAGTATATCTCTAAGCGATCATTATTATAAAGAAGTGATGGGATTTAGGTTTGAATATTATCACAAACTGACACAACATTAGCCTTCAAATGTATGCCCAATAATATTATGGTATACCGTATTATAGCACTATATTTATATAAATAATATAACAAAATATAACAAAAAAGTATATATAATAAGAGTTTGATATTAATTTTATAAATGATATGAAATTTCTTTAATATACTGTATAGTAAATTACTATTAGTAATACCTGTAGTTTATCATATGATCTTTGTTTACTCATATACTAGAAATCAAAATTAATATTATTTATATTAATACCATTACAATAAACTTACCGTAATATATATATAAGTAAATTATATTGCCATAAATACCGTATATTAGATAATATAATGATACCTTTATAATATTATCCATATATATCGCAATATACTAAATATATCATATAATGTCACTTAAATAAAATGTTAGAATAGTTATGACAAATATTTGAATATAATTTATTTTATGAGATTTGTAAATATATCGTAAATGTATTTTATTTTATTTTTTATAAATATAACACAAAAATATTTACTTAATATCATAAATCTTGTTGAACATTGTTCATTTACATTATTATATAATACAATATCAAAGATATACTTAATTAAATATTAAACAATTTTAATAAAATATGTGTAAATTAAATGTTTTGCGTTAAATAATTAAATGTACTATTTTTGCTATAAGAAAAATAAATATTTAATGTATATTATTAATAATGATAACAATAACTTTACTATTAATTTAATACAATAGTTGTATACAACTTAATACAGTTTAGTATCAATATGAAATAAATTTTAATATATATTTTTATTTGATCTAAAATATATCAATTAATTAAACTTATTTTTTGCTTATATGATGATAATATTTTGTAAATACCTGTATATTATCACTATATATATATATTACTAAATACATTCTGTAGATATGTATTTTTAAATAAATATATTATACTATTTATAAGCATATGTTATGTATATTTATATAAATATTGTAGTTTAATGTATTGGATGTTATTTTATTATTAATAAAATCACAATAATTATGAATAATAATAAATGTCATCAATATTTTGCTGTATATGTTATAAATGATTTGATTATAATATTAAACAATATTAGTTAATACAGTAAATTAATTGTATTAATAATTATGAAATATATAGTGATAACCATTTAATGCCATCTATTGATGTCTAACGTAATGATCAAACTTATGGCGATTTCAACAAATCTAATGTCTTTAACAAACAAATAGTTTTTGATTGAAATGTGTTTACAAATAATTGTTTTATTCATTCAAATGATTGATTGGTCACTAATTTAGTGAACAAATCAATTGATTATTATTTTATTAAAGCATTTGTTGATTATTTTGGTTTAAATATATATAGTGTTTGTGTTAAGACAAGTGTCATAAATGTTAAGATTATATAACCATTAATGGGCTCTCATTTGAGCAAAAATCCAGAGACTTATCAAAACAGAAGTAAAGCCGACCTCAAGATCAACACTCATACCAATAGCCGACGTAAGAGTTCGGTCGACTCGGTGTCCACTCCCGACTTCATCACATCGCAACACATCAAAGCAATTGGCGGCCAATCAGACCAAAGACAACAACAAATTGTTGGACACAAAAGTGAAGCAAAGATTTGGATTCCCGCCGAGATTGTGGTCGTATCGGACGCACCAACTGATAGTGAAGATATTATTACATTTCCGCCGACATTTAAACCATTGATTCCCATTGGATACGAGTCATTGTCTCAATCATATCCACAATTAAAGCCCGAGTTTATCATCAATTTAGGTCTCATTCTTGAGAAACATCTTAAGACAAAAGCCGAGTTTGTTGCTCGAGAACAGCTAAAACTGATTGATTGTGTCAAAGACTTGGACTCAAAGGTCTCATATCTGTCCAATCAATTCATTGTTGAGCGACAAAAACGACTCATCAAAGTGTCAGAAAACTTGTCAAAAGTGACTGAAATTTCTTCATTGATTGAGAAGATTGACAAAGATTTAGATATTTGTGTGAAGAGTTTAGATAAACTCAACAACTTTTTACCCCAAACTCTTCAGTTAGAAAAACTTGAGTTAAATCAGACGACAGTCTATTCTTAAAGACTTAATTTGTTTAGTGTTTAAAATATTTTAGTTTTTAATATCAATCATTACATCCATAATGTCGAGTCCATCTCCCGGACCACTGGCCAGTGGGCAGTCATTAATAGGTTCTGTTCCGACACGAAGAGTGAACAATAATAGCTTTGGGGGACTGTCATCACTGGGCCAGAGTGTGGGTCAACCAACAGGACCAGTGACACCACCGCTGCCACAGCATTCACAACACTCTCCCAATTCATTTTTAGCTGGATTTTCATCGCGACTCATATCAAATCGTAACCGAATGCCTGATCTCATGGACATTACCGGTGGCGGCACTTTCACCAACAATACGAGTCTACTAGGAATGAGTAATAGAAATTCAATGCATACTTTTGGTGTGGTTGGAGGTTCAGTTGGGGGTCCGCCCGCACCTTCATTAGACATGACTGAGTTTCCTACACTTGGAGGAAGCAATTCCAACAGTGTATGGCATTTGTAATTATTTATAAGTGATTTTGTGTTAATTGTTTGTTTATTTTGCAATAACTTATAGCTTATAACCCAAAACTCATCCTCTTCTCGACAACCCTATGTAGGGATGGTTAAGGACAATGTGACCAACAATTCAACATCAAATGAATTTAATATACAGAGTGAAGACTTCCCAGCGCTGCCCGGATCTAATCCAAGCATCCATTTTGGAAGCAATCATAACGACGATTCTTCATTAAGTAGTGCGTCCACAGCTATGTCTTTAGGAGCAAATAATATGCAAAATATGGGCCGAACTTCGGGAGGTATCATCAGTAGCAACGGTTCAGGAGATGCGAGTATGAGATATAAAAAGGGAATTCAGACCAACAAAGAGGGTCGAGTCAGTAATATTCCTCATGGAATGGTTACCGACCAGTTCGGGATGGTTGGTCTCTTGACTTTTATACGCGCCGCTGAGGCCGACCAAAGCTTAGTTTCATTAGCGTTAGGAACAGATCTAACGACTCTCGGACTTAATCTCAATTCAAACGAGTAATTATTATATTGTTTTTTATAAATATAATATCTTAATTGTAAATTAAATTAATATTAATAAACGTTTTTATTGATTTAGACCGTTGTATCAGACATTTGCTGGTCCCTGGAGTGATCAACCTCTTAAACCCCCTGAAATTGGTTTAGTAATTCATTTTTTTTTTCATTAATATTAAATAGCAATTAACAAGTTGTACTCAATTGTAGACTATCCCGTTCCCACTGAATACTTGATAAATGCGTCGATCAGAGACAAGTTAGCACCACTTAAGCTCAACCGTTACGGTGACGACCTTTTATTTTTCCTCTTCTATATGTATGCCGGAGATATTATTCAAATTTTAGCCGCTAGTGAACTGTAAGATAATTATAACATTTAAAAAATGAAATTTATTTAAAAAACATATAATAATGTTATAGTTATGTTCGCGACTGGAGATATCATAAAGACGAAAGAGTTTGGATAACACGGGCTCCGGGAATGTTACCATCAGATAAACAGCCGACTTATGAAAGGGGAACCTATTATTTCTTTGATCCACACAATTGGCGTAAAGTAGCGAAAGAATTTCATTTAGAGTACGAGCGGCTCGAGAACAGGCCGGCCGCCGCCGCCTTTTCTAACGCACCGCTTAACTCATAAAATTGAAATTGCGATAAGTTTTCAATCATTATTATTATTATTATTATTATAATGTATTTAAAATATTCATTTTGAATAAAATTTTTAACTATTATTATTTTTTATTTATGATAATTGTATTTTTTATTTTATTGAAACGATTGATATAAAATAATTTGTTTGAATTTATGGACAAAATTTTTTGAGATCAAACTTGTATTCTCTCAGCTCTTTGTTGATAGTCTTTAACAATGGACTCATTATATGGCAACAAATGCCGTTAAAGTCATCCAAATCAAGTGCCCAAATCATAGCACCGCCTAAATTGTTGTTTTTAATAAAATCAGTTTTTTGTATGATATGATCTCTATCATCGTAACCGACCCACTGATTGCTTGTATAAGAATAAGGACCAGTTATCAAAGGGTTTCCTCTTAAGACATAAGAATCCGTACGCTTAGCCCAACCCTTTTGAAGGATATTCGCACAAATCTCATAATAGGCAATAAATCCATTTTCTTTAGTATAGATGCCCTGATCTCCCGTTCCATTAACTGGTGAACCAAAATCATTAATCTCAGAATCAACTAATTTAAATGTACGTCCATAGAAAGGAATGCCTAAAATGATTTTATGAGAAGGAAAACCTTTTTTGATCCAATAGTTGACTGAAAAGTTTGCATTCAACACCTTATTGTCCATATCTTTAGCGTTTGGATGACTATATAGTTGAGAGTGATGTGCAGCTATAGGACTACCGGTAGTGTAATAATCATAAGACATCAGATTTATGAAATCCAAGTTAACCATTAATGAGTTAATTTCATAGGCGTTGTCAACAATATGTTTGGCCGCACCCACAGCTGCTGTTAATAATAATGGTTTTGGTTGTCTATTGAAGGCTGTCCTCAACTCTCTAATGAATTTAGCAAAATTTAATTTATCAGACGGTGTCCCTGCACTACAATCCGATTGCCAACATTGAGGATACTCCCAATCTAAGTCCAGACCATCAAAGTTATGTTGTCTTATGAATTCAATGGCTCTCTCAATAAAATTCATGCGATTTGTATAATTTCTTACAAGTCTAGAGTATTTGTCACCTTCACTATCAACCCAACCGCCCAAAGCAATTAAAACTTTGAGTTTTGGATTTTTTTCTTTTAAATCAGTCACTCGTTGATAAAATCTATTGTCAATATCCGTACATTTATCCGATGACTTCATGGTTAGGGTTTTATTATCGAGAATAGCAAAGGCATATATAATATGAGTACATAAAAATGGGTTTATATTATTTGGTGTATATTTTGCTAAATCTGACCGATAACGGGACCAATTGGTGAAATAACAAACAATTTTATAAAAATCAGTTATTTTTGACATATCATTAGATTTATAGTTTGATAAAACCGTGTGAAGTCCCGCAACACTATCTTCAACAACACACGATTCTGTACTCTCAGTATTTGTCGATATATATGTCGATTCCGTAACTGTTGTTTCAGTCAATGTTTCATTTTGAAGGATTGTCTCTAAAACTGGTAATACTATACTATCAATAGTTGTTGGTATTACTGAAGACAATGTTATCGATTCAATGTTTTTAATTGTTGTCATTTCTAAAGGAACTTCTGTTGTTGTTATGATTGTCGTTGGACTGGTTGTGGCAATAGTTGTAGTGATTATAGGAATAGTTTCATTGTCTTTGTCTTCTTCATATATAACGAAAGAATTATTCAATGGTTTTATAAATCTTTCTTCGTATTCAACAAATGATTTGTTAAGTCTTGGTTTACTTTCTTCTTCGTATTCAACAAAAGATTTGTTAAGTCTTGGTTTACTTTCTTCTTCATATTCAACAAACGAATCATTTATGATAATCGAGTGATGTTTTACAACTCGTAAAGATCTTTCATTTTTGGGATCAGAAGTTTCATTAGAAGGGGTTATAGTGATGTCTGTGTCGACATTATGTGGAGTCTCTGTGTTTTCAATGTCATGTGTTGTATCATAGGTCGGAATGAAGACCCGACTTTGTCGAAACAAATATGGATCGACTTGTAATGGGACTGCTTTTGGTAACTCATATCTGGGCTCTTCTATACTGATAGATGAGGGACTAGTAGTCATCTCGAGTGTGGCTGAGTTATGACAATTCACATACTTTGGGTCATCACATGATTTAGTTATATCATTAAATACTTTTCCTTCACTACATGTAAATCTATGAGTGATTTTGCCATTTGAACAGCGAATCATTTTAGCACAATCTGATTGATCTCTAAAATATCCATTTCCTATATTTTAATAGAAAAGTCATAATAAAGTTAATTATACTCATTAATGACAATTAATAACAATAAAAATGTTTTAATTTTTAATGGTCTCTAAAAGACTTATAATTAGTGATTATAAAACATATAATTAGAAACGTGTTTTCAAAATATAATTTAAAAAAACTTCCGCAAACTGATTGTGAATTTAATATTTTACTTTCACTTTGATATATAAAAATAAATTTTACAAAGTCTTCAAAAAAAATTTAATTTACAATACCTGTGCATTCAAAACACATGATGCAAGAAATTAGAGAAGAAAATAAAATAATTTTATACATTTTTATAAAAAAAATTCACTATAATTTCATGAATTGTATTTAAATAAATAAAATAATTGACACAACAAATTGATAGACAAATTGACAACAAATTTACTTTAAAATTAAAGACTAATACTTAGAGACAACACTTTTGGCAATAAACGAAATGACAAATGCGAGTAATTTATTATTTATTTGCTATTAGTGTTTAACTTTTATTAACGACAACTTCAAGCATATGTAAGATTTGTCGGTCTCTTTGAGTGTTGGCCTCAATAATACAGTTATTGGCAGCTATGCTATGACCACAACCACCACTGCCTCCACAACCAACCCCTTCAACCTGTTAATCAATGGTGACCTCAATCAATGCTATCAACAATGTTTTAATTAATACTCTATACATATTTGAATATAAATAGATATAGTATAAGTCATCTTATTTATGATGATTTTATTTTTAATTGTTTTTATATAATTAAAAATTAGTTTTATATAAAATTACATTCATTTGTATGCTATTTACAGTAGTATACTGTATAAACTAATTGTTATATTTTCAAAATACCATTTCCTAAACACCTACTTATTTTTAAAATAAATAATATATTTATTAAATTATAAATTATGATTATTTCAAAAGATTGTTTTAAATATTGACATTGTAGATAAAATTAAAATCAGTATATTATATAAATATTATATAAATAAACATCTTGGTTATTGCTATTCAAATACAAATATAAACAAAATCATTTACTACTAGTAATACATACAAATTATTTGACTAAATTTATTAGAATATATTAAAATTGAAATTATATCTAAAATAAATTGCTTTTAAAAATAATTAACAGATTTGGCAAACTTACATAATATAACAAAATAATAGTAATTAATATTTTTATTTTTAAAACAAATAATTTATTTTCAACAATTTCGATTAAAACATTAAAATAATTATAGCTTATATTATTAATTTATATATTAACTAGTGTTAAAATTAATTGATTTATATTGTATCCAGACTAATCTCTTTAAGTAACATTATTAATAAAATAAGTTATGTTAGATATTTTGCATACAATTTGAATGTTGATTAATACAGTATGTTTAATTACTATTAGGATTATATTATTTAGTTCAAATTTTTTATATACCGTATTTCAAGTGTCGATATATAAAAATTTACAAAATATTTATGTAATTTAATCACTTATTAAACAATCGGTAATTATTGTGAAATTACATTTGTGTCTCATTATAATTTATTAGTTATTTGTATTCAATATTAATTAAATCAATAATATTTTTTTAATTATAAACTAATTTTGTAAATATCTAAAATTCTCAAATAAATTAAGAAATTATAATTAATATGAAATTTGTTTTATTTTAAATATATATATATACTGTATATAATATATATTTAAATTAATAGTGACTAAGATGATTATTATTTATTATATTCAAATATTAAATACATAATTTTTTATCACTGATTTTATGTTATTAACTTTGTTATAGTATTTTTTATTTCAGTCATTATCAGTGCTATAATTACAGATTAACTGATAAATAGCTATTATAATTGCATAATATATATATATATATGATGTAAAATTGATTTATATTTATAAAAATTAATTGTTTATTTATAAATATATCTATTATTAATTCATTTTATACTACTGTACTATACATTTGTTTTTTATATTCCGTGTCAATTCAAACAAGGATTCATTGATTTAATAGTTTGATAAGTTTTGTTTCAAAACTAATTTCAACATAATTACGAAATTATCATCTAATGAATTGTTTATCTTATTTTAACAAAATTATATTTCAAACATAATGTATTGTTTTATTAACAATTACTATACAAATGATTTAGTTTTATAGTCATTGATATACTGTATTATTATAAAGTTTATAAATTAATTTGTATGCCGGGATAATTGTCCCATTTGTCATTAAAATTGTTTTCGTAATATAGTTTTAATTAATTTACTTTAATAATTAAAAGACCTTCAAATTAAAGATTTAAAATCAAATAAATTACATTTGTTGAGAAATCCTGTTTTAAAAAATCATTAAAATTATTATTAAGTTTATGATATATCAATCGTACGGTACATTAACTATCAATTTGATATTAAATTGAGATAATTAGTTATACACATAATGTTATTATAAATCCATTTATTTTAATTAAAAATTTCATTAAAGTGTTTACAATTACATCAAATTTTACACTAATTTATCAAACATTTTAAGTGAGTGTCTCATCAATTAAAATATAAATACATTATTATATAATTATAAATATGTAGTAAATTAAATAAATAGTCGTATAAATAGTTGATCACAAAGTGCTTATATTATTGATAGTAATAATAATAATAATAACTAATAAATAATAGTTAATTAAGATTTTCATAATAAAAGATGAGGTCATCGATGGTTAGCGTTGACATTGGCTTCGAGTGAAGCCATTCGTGTGAAGAGTATTTGTTGTCTAGACTTGAGGTCAACCAAAGCCGTCATAACTTCTTGTTGTGGCAAACCATTCAACAGCTGCTGATCCACCAAAACAGTGTCCACTGATGTCTCACTGTTGGCCTTATTGTTGGCCTTATTGTTGTCGTAAATGAGTGGCATTTCATACATATTTGTTGACAAAATAACTGATTTATTGAAGTGTTTGCCATAAATATTGGGTAATTCATAAAATTTAATATAACTGTAAATATCGTTAATTATATTCATTGCAAAAACAATTGTCTAATCAATTGATTTCCAATTACTTTATAATGAAAAACGTGTTCAAAGTATTGACGCAATAACTCAATCAATGAATAATACATTTCATTACAATTCAATACAACATACAGTACTCTACAATACAATGTATACAATGCTTTTGCGCCAATAGACTATACATTTAGTGATGTACCGATTGCAAAATGCGCAATTGCATTGGTCGGAAATTGCATGAAATTGCCGCAATTGCAAAAAGCTCGATTGCGAAAATCGCAATTGTAACATAGAACAATTTATAATTTTTTAAAAATTAACAAAATTTGAATTGTAAAGCAATATGAATAAAAACATAAATTAATTATATAAATTTTAATTATTTTATCATAAAATGTTGCCATCTAAAAACCATGTAAAAATAATAATAAATTAGTAAATTATCTTAATCTATAGGAAAACAAATTTTTAACGTTGTCAAGGTTAATTTTTATACATTCCCTCATGCGCGCAATTTCACCCAATTTTCCGAAATTGCGGCAATCGAAAATTGAATTGCGAAAAATTACCAACACTATATACATTTAATAATTTACGTTTACTACACATAATTTTCCCATCACTTAGTATACGATATTATATGATATGATTGATATTAAAAATTGTTTAATTGATTGCATAAAAACTATATTATTACAAATTGATTATTACATTTGAATGTTATGTAAAAACATTTATTATTGTATTATAATATTAAATGTAAATAATAATAAAAAAAGAAATTTGATATAAAATACGGGATCGGGAATCGGGAATCACACGAATCACGAATCAATGCTTAATAAGTTACTATTACTAACATAAGTGTGACTCTCTATCTGTTGAAAAGCATGCCTTCATTCACATAACAAGTGATAAAAATGAATACATTTATGTAAACAAAGTTATCAAACAATTATTGTCTGAAGAAATGGCAAATCATGTGTTAAATGTATTGTCTTTACAAAAGAGGATCAATATATTGTCAAACAATATTTGTCTTCGACTAATACGCTATAATTCAACCCAAAGTCAGACCAATGAAGACAAACACAACTCTGAATTGACATCCGATAAGAAAGAGAAGACAGACTTTTTACCACTAAATCTGATGCCACAGAAAATGTCCGCAAGGATTGAAAGAAAGAGCTATTTTGGAGAGGTTTGCACCACAAGACAAGTTTAATGACATTTACTTATTGATTATTATATGAACAGATCCGAAGTCCTAGATATAAGAAAATGAAGACGAATCAAAAGTGGTCAGACGTATGGCCTGCGGCCAGAGTTTTTCATCCGTCAACTGTTCCGTTGCCTTTACATATGGGATATACGAATCGAAACTCAGGGGAAGTGCCGAGTGGTAAATACCACAATCCGGAACTATTAAAAATACCCAACTTTTTGCATTTGACTCCACCGGTCATACAAAAACAATGCGAAGCATTGAAACGTTTTTGTACCGAATGGCCAAAAGGTCTCGAAACGGATGAAAAGTGTGACAAACATTTCCCGATTCAAATCAAGACGAAAGAGTTTGTATTCAGCGGAACATCTATTCGATGGCCAGACTATCGTATCGTTGAATTGCAAGTAAAGATGTCTGCATTGCCTCTCGATTATCATTTAAAAGACAAAATGAAACGATTATTAACTGAAAGATATGATGAAAAAACAGACACCATTACCATAACTGCATCCAAATGTCCTCTAAGAAAACAGAACTATGAATACGCCTTATATTTATTGACTGCCGTCTACTTTGAGTCATTGGTTTGTTGTTTGAAATTATAGTAAAAGTTATATTAAATGATTAATTGATTGCAGAAAGTAGAAGAATGGGAGACAGAAATAGCAGAATCTGATTGGGAAAAGTATTATTGGAATCAAAGCAAATCCAAAGAATCGATTGTCTCATACATGAAACGAGTCAAACCTGATCTCAAAGAGGAAGACATTCTTAACGACCAAAAGGTTAAATCATTTGCGGAATCAGTTTGTAAATTGTTTGACGAGAAAAAAGTGAAACAAAAGAAAACAAATACAGATAATTATAAGCAAAACGTTTTACAACTATTGTTCTGAAATTCATTTCAGTAACCGATGTCTTCATTAACTTTTTATTGTAATAATTGGTTATAATTTTTTTTTTGACAATTTGTATATAAAGTAAATAAATTAGTGATAAATTTAGTTTATATTTAGATTATTATTATTATTAAAAATTAATAAATAATAAATAATTTTGTGAATTATATTTACAGTACAGTACTGTATGCTCTATATTATGAGTCTATAACCTCCCGGAGCTATACATATGATGACGTTATTGATGACAAATATTTAATGACTCAGTTGATCGCCATTTTGGTAAACAATCGGCACTAAAGTGTTGACCAAACAAACAATAAGACAAACATTTATTTAGTCCATTGTTTATAAATTAATACAATTGTTTTACTACTGACCACTAATGGGACGCAAAAAGAAGAAGCCGTCAAAGCCGTGGTGTTGGTATGTCTTTGAAATGCATTGTTGTTAACAATTGTTAATACTTTGTTGTTGTTGTTGTTGTTGTTATTGACAGGTATTGTAACCGTGAGTTTGACGACGAGAAGATACTTATTCAGCACCAAAAAGCCAAACACTTCAAGTGTCACATTTGCCACAAAAAGCTGTATACGGGTCCCGGTTTGGCCATTCATTGTATGCAAGTTCACAAAGAGACGATCGATAAGATACCAAATGCATTACCGAATCGAAACAATGTTGACATTGAGATCTATGGTATGGAAGGCATACCAGAAGCAGATATTAAAGAGCACGAGAGGTCCAAAGGAAATGACTTTAAACCACAAAACGATTCAAAACCTATGCCTTCTGTGTCGACATCAATGGCACCGATGATACCAATACCGGGTGCCGTTACGGCTCCCATTCCAGGTGTTATGGCAATGCCAGGAATGCATTTTGGTTTACCACCAAATCCACAACAATACGCTAATTATGCGCCTAATATGGTAGCCACTAGTCATCCACCATTAGGTCCGTACGGTACTGCAATACCTCCGCCACCATCATTAGCTCCTCCACATACAATAGTTGGTGCCGCCCGTACACAACCACCGGGTGCACTAACATTGCCTCATCATAGACCTCTATTTCCATCTGTTAGTTCAGCGCCAACAACAAACCACAACTCATTAGTTGGTGCAGACTTCAGACCATTAGGTTATAATATGAGTGCTTATATGACAACCCATACGAACTCAACCAATGCTACAGTCAGTGCTTCGGCCGTTATATCAAAGCCGGCCTCGTCTGCCATTATCGGGACATTGAGTGGTACATCACGTATAATACATCCAGAAGAAGATATTTCTTTAGAAGAGTTGAGAGCTCGTCAAATGAAATACAAACTGATTGCCGGTATTTCCCAGCAGTTGCCGCAAACAATGAATGGTTTAAATCCAAGTGCTGCCGTTTATTCTACACCAATGCCTCCCAATATGTCATTACCTCCACCGCCGCCACCAATGATGGCGCCCAACCCTATGTCCACTCATCCCTCATTTCAACCAACTTTTCGTTCGGCCTTTTGATGAGACAAGTTGTGAGATAAGTCTTTTAGTAAAAACAAATAAATTTTCGTTTAGTTGTCATTTAATTAATTATTATTATAATTGTCTGTTAATATTATTGATTGACTTTGAATTAATTCAGAGAATCAATGACTCCTCAAAAATGTAGGCTTTAATTGAAAAGTCAGGTATTTTATCGGTTAGTCTTAATCTCACTTTTAATGTTTTTATATAATATATTTTGTATAATTATTTTGTTAACAATTTATTTTCAATTAACTAACATTTATTATTTAAATGAACTTTAAGTTTGAGATTTCAATAGCGACTATTAAATGACATAATAAATAGTAAGTAATCTATCGATTGGTAAGTAATTTAATTAATTATCTGTCAATTAAATCATGAAATGTATATAAATTTATACCACTTATTGAGTGACAAAATGTTAATTATTTCTATACTACTTGTATCACAAAGATAAGTAATATGAATTGTATTATAAAATTTATTATTATTTATAAGATATTTGATTATTATCTTAAAATTGATTTATTTAACAATCGAAACAATCTGTAAGTACTTATCATTCGAGCGATTATTTTGTTATTTATTATTGTTTATAAAGATTGTAATTAAACAAAAAAATCTTTGTGTCATTTGATTTGTTTTTTTATCGAAATTAACAATTCCTTACTTTTAGGAAGTTTTCAGACGAAAAATCCGATTCTTAATATAAAATTGCAATTCTTTTAAATTTCTCTGAAATGGATTTAAGATAAGTTGGGATTCAATTCATTAAATTAAATATCGGATAAAATTCAGACAAATATATTTTATTAAATATAATTATAAATCACATGTTTTATGTTGTTTATCAAATATATTGTAAAAATTCAGATCATATATGTATTGAGAAAATTCATTAAAATTATTACTTTCTGGCGACTAAATAGTTTTGTTTAAACCATTGAACGGTCTCTTTAATGCCGATTTCTATTGGCGTGAACTCAAAGTTCGGTAAATATTTGCGAAGTTTTGCATTATTAGCTGTTTTCTTGTATTGTCCGTCGCTATAATTAATATCAAAATCGAGTTCAAGTTTGATTTCATCGGAGAAGGCATTGGCCACCAATTGAGCCGCATTTCCAATACTGATCTCTTCTTCTTCGCCAACACTCAATATAATTGGTTCTCTTTCTTCATAGACCTTCAGAGTCCATACAATAAGTTTTGCCAAATCTTTTGAATATATAAACTGACGCATCGGTGTACCGCTTCCGTAGACCATTAGCTTTGCACTGTTAGCTCCTGTTTGCAAATATATTATTCAAATTATGGTTATTAATCTAATTGTTGTCATTGAGGTAACTATACCTTTATGTTTGGCTTCTCTAACGGCATTAAATGCTTTAACAATAAGGCCGGGAATGACGTGCGAGTGTTCAATGTTGAAGTTGTCATACTTGCCGAAGACATTGGTGGGAACCACTGCCGTAAACAGAGTTGAATTATTGGCACTACTATTGTATGCCTTATTGAGGACATCAATCATCCTTTTGGCGTATGAATAGCCAAAGTTTGAATCGTGCTATCAATCAATCAGTTGATTCAGAAAATGATTTATCACTTGAAAGTAAAGACATACTAACCGGTGGTCCCAAATGAATCATTGTCTCGTCTATCGGGTAAGTCGTATGGTTCGGGAAAATACAAGTCGACAGACATGATATACATTTCTTTACTTTCATCTCGTGAGACATCAACAGAACATTATCATTGATTTGTAAATTTATCCGCAAAAACATAAGATTGTTATTTTGGTTATGGAAGAGACCGCCGACCATTGCGGCCAAATGTATCACATAATTGGGTCTAATCTTTTCAAATAAGGCTCGAGTTTCATATAAATTTGAGAGATCCGACTCTTGGGAACCAATAAACACAAACTTATATGAAGACAATTCATCGCAATTTTCATTGACAACCGATTCAATAGCTCGACCCACAAGACCAGTACCGCCGGTAACCAAAACTATCTGTTTGTCGGACATTACTTCAATTGATTGTAACAAACGTTTCACAGTATTAATCAATTGTACATAAAATGTCTTAAATATAACTAAATGTAAAAATAAAACCTCTGTTTTCGTTAAGTTTTATAAATCATTTGACATTTTATTTGACTATTGCCTTAAAATAAGTATTTATAGGTTTTTTGATAAGTAATTGGTTTATAGTATAAACTTTATACAGTATTTGTTGATATTAATAGATATTAATAGATATTAATAGATATTAATAGATATTAATAGATATTAATAGATATTAATAGATATGTTAATTATTTAAAAATAAATTGATAACAAAGCTATAAATATATCATTTTCAGACATTTTTAATCATAGTTTCTATTAATTAGTAATTTAATATTAATTTAATTTTAAAAACAGTTTAATAGTTAAAACGTATTGAAAAAAGTTAGCCATAATTAGCGGATTATTTCAAAAATTGATTTAAAGAGAAAAAACAAGACTTACGAAAATTATATTTTTATCAAACAATTTATATGAATTTCATATGTGTTTGTTTTTTTTAAAAATTATTTATGTATTATATTATGTGATATTACCGGTAATATTGTAATATAAATATAAATTTACTGTACTTTATATTATTTTTATTCAATCAAATGACAATTTTCTATAAATACTGGAATAATACTAAAAAGTTTTAAAAATGTTTACTAAAATTTACTCAAATACAGTATTGTTTTTCTTAATCATATTTCTAATAGAAATTTATCTAAAATACTAAACAAATATTATAACAAACCCTAACTACCGGTAATTTATGCATATTTTGTGCGCAAGTCTTTACACTTTTAAAAGTATGGGGTTTTTAAATATTTTATTTGAAAATACGATACAATAAAAGTTAGAAAAAAAATTGTATTATAAACAAAATGTTTGATTAAATACTTAAATGACAAACTAATTCGGTCTCAGTTTTATCAATAGTTGCTATAAATGCCAACAAATTATCTTTATTTAGATAATCAATATTAGGCACAAAATAGACTCCTTGTCTATAATGTCGGTTCCAATTGACATACTTTCCACACACTATAGGTTCCATAGGTCCCGAACTCTCCACTAATTTATCAGTTAAATAGAAATCAATCCAAAAAACAATTGCTATATATTTTGTGTTTAATTTTGGTAAATGATTACTAATATCAAACTTAACGAAAGCTTTGGCAACATTTAGACTATCAATTGGTTGATTGAAATTAAATGAAAACAATTCATAAGGTTTCTCAGCGATTGCTTTTCCCGGATATTCCCAAAGAGATTGCGATTCAATGGATGAGTCGCTCATAACTTTTGCTTCTTTAATCAATTGGTCGTAAATACTTAAATCAAAACCCTCGACATTATCTCCAACTTCGGCATTGATTTTCCATAAATTGTCGAATTCTATTGGAATCGCTTTAATAACAGCTTTGTTGGGCATAATAACGACATCATGAGTTAAGATGTTTTTGGGAATATTATGGATCAGATGCCAGAAAGTCAAGTGATTCCACGGTAAATCACTTTTGTTAAAATATGGTTCACCTAATACCAAACCAACGCTATCGTCTTCAATACAATCAAAATCATGGATCAGTTCAATCTTATCTTCACATCCGTTAGTCTTTGAATAACATGTAATAAAGTCGTCGGTTTGTTGATCTCTCGCTAAACAGAAAACTTTTTTAATTTTCTTGTGTTTTGTGGCAACAATTGGCAAATGACTGAAATCGCCAATAAATAAAGCATTCGTTGATTCAGTTTTTAAATTGTTATTAATTTCTTCAATGGACTGATTGTAAAGTTTTAGACGTGAGATATCGTTAATCATCGATATTCTGGTTCGGCTTAAATACATATGAACTCCACATTTGCAGAACTTGTTAGACTTGTCTTCTTCATTATAATCGCTAAACCAAAGACTATACTCATCGCGATTGGCATTCAATTTAAATATTTCATTGATTTTTATATCATAGACTTTCTTGTCTGCTGACAAATAATACACGGATTGCATCCAATGGTCTCTCCACGGAATGTTCTTTGCCGTCACTGTATTGTCTTTGTATGTCCAATAAGGACCACAACTCAAGACAATTTCTCCATCAAAATCCATATCCAAATCCCACCAAACAAATAGCACAAGTGAACCATTTATATCACAAATTGGTTTAAATTCAATTGTTTTACTAACATTAGATTCAAGAGTTGTTATATCATTGAAATTAAATTCAAACACTACTTCAGGCTCTGTTACAATAATAAAGTCATCGTTTGGTTTTAATTCATTAATTTGAATGTCGTGTAAGACATTAGTTCCGGCACAAGATTTAATGTTTTGTGGCGAAACAATAGTAATATCGTCATTAACCTTCATTTCATTACTAAACTGATGATAAGAAAACAACTTATCCGACTCAACCAATTGGCAATAAATACGAGCTCTCGATGGCACCAGAAGTGCTTCCGGAGATAACAAGTGTTGAACGGCATGTCTGTACACACCTATAGCTCCTTCGCCTATCAATTCGGTGTCAAACAGTTCTGCAACCAATAAGTCTGCTTTTGTGTGCAAATCGCTAGTTTGAGTCCCAATTGTCAAATCAGATGAATGTTTATTAATGACTTTTATTTGATCGGAAAAGCCATTCTTGTGGATAATATTTTGGGCGCATTTGACAATCGGTTCTGAGATATCACACGCTTTATAAACAATGAAAATAATTATTGTCTTAAATTATTGACAATTATTGACAATTTTACCAACAACTCGATGAGCGCCACTCTTGATGGCCATCATTGAAAGCAGACCAGTACCGGTGCCGATGTCCAGACCGAGTATCTCTTTGTTACAACTTTTCAATTGGTTGACTGTCTTTTGTATGGCCTTATAGTACAATTGATTTCGATGGCCATCGTTGACCATATCGGCGAATGCACTTCTGGCCAAATCCTGCCAATAATCAAATGATTGCATTGATTTCTTCTGCCATTCAAATTGACCACTCATTGCATTGTATTTCTGAACAAACTGTATGTTGTTTGTGTCGGTTATCATATTATTATTAACGGTTGACATCAATCGGATCAATGTCTTAGATCTCATGTAATTAAGTCAAACAACTTTATCAATCATTTAATTATTGTTTACATTAATAGAGAGCACGTGTTTTGTTGAATAACTCGATAACAATTCTATTGCTTTAAGTCAACACTGTTTTAATAGTTATATAAATAGTTTAATATTTATACAGTAGTATTGTATACACACTGTATATAAAAGCATTATACAGTACAGTATGTGTTATCAATTAGTAAATTTTACAATTTATTTAATCACATTTTTCATTGATTGAATTAATATCATAATTAATTTAGTTAATGTATAGTATTCATAATATAACTTACAGTTAGGGTATAATTTTTAACTAATATATCATAATTATTTTGAAGTCATTTGGGCTTTAAATAAATGAGCATGATCAAAATAAGTTATACAATTATAAAGTCAATCATTTAGTTTTATATTAAATAGATGTAATACTGTATATCAATAATATTAGTAATATAACCATAACTACTGTACAATAGTTAAATTAATAACAAATTAAAATTAATTTTTGTTGATAAATAAAATTTATATAAAATATTTTATAACGAATAATAAAATTATAGAAAACTATAGTAATATTGTTAATACAATAATATTAAATATTTAGTAAGGATTGAGTCGTTTCTTATCCTTTCTTATAATTTTAGACTTTCCTGTTGTCTCTGGTTTTTCCCTTTTATTTGTTCCGGTGGTTAACAATCGATTCCACACACAAATACAACTGTCTTCACCACCAGAATATAACACATCATTATCACTATCTTTAACTATAGTCCGAACCATTTTGTTGTGTCCATCGCTAAGAATTTGAGAATAAGGATACGATCGGAGGTCACACTTGTATTAATGTCAAACATTTTGATACAATGACCGCTATCTCCAACACAGACAACTCCTTCATTACCTAATGTGCCGACAATATAATCAAAACCAGAATTTAATGACAAAGAATTGAAATTTGATTTAAGAAGTATGTCATCGATATTCCACAACTGAATACTTTCTTCACGAGTTAAACAAATCAAATCGTTTTCGTCAGATTTAGTCCAATGAATCCGATCGACGACTGATTCGACATTTAATGTGGATATTAATGCCTCGTCCTCTTCAGTTTCATTCAAATCAAATAAGTTAATCAGTTCATCACAACCTCCCGAACAAATCAGATGTCTTTTTTGTGGATGAAATGCCACATCTGTCACATCATTTGTATGCGACTCATAATAAGCGCCTAAAACTAGTGCCGGTCTTCGGATGTCCCAAAACAAGAGGTAACTGTTTTTATCTTTTTCTGATACTTCAGTTCCAGCGCACAGATATGTGAAGTCACAGTTTGTGTCAAAACATGTCAAATGAATATCAGAGATGTCAAACAATCTGTCGCCGCTTTCTTGAGATATATTAGCAATAAATTGTTTTAAACTCTTGTGACACTTGTCTCTTACATCATACAAGTGAACCGCTTCTGCCGTACAAACCATCAATTGGTTCTTCTCTCGTGAAGAGTATTTAATCAATGAATTCATTGAATCCAAGTCTTTAAGCTCTTGTATTGTCTGAAGTGTCTTCGCGTCGATTATTTCTATCGATTTGTTGCACAAATTGACCGCCAATTGGTTTTTGACACAATTGAGGTCCAAATCTATAACAAAACAATCATTTCTTGTATCAAAATGTCGTGTATTTGCCAAATGATATGTCATTGTTGTCACTATCACTGAATCGCATCCAATAGTCACTCAGTATTGCATCCAATCATTGAATTTAATGTAAACATCGGTTTATTTTCAAAGTGACGCCACTTTCTAACTAAACCTTAAGCCTGAGTCTGGGCTAACAATTGGGGGTTTGAATACAATTTTGTTGATATCATACCTTATATTCAATCAAATGCCAACCCGTGGCCACATATTGTTCATACAGTAGTGTATAAATAGTATCAAATGTTTAGTGCCTTTTTGCATAATTCAGTTTATTATTATAAAAATTTAAATATTAAAATCATTTAATTTATATAAGTTTAGTAAAATTATTTAATCTAATCTAATACTGTATCAAATCTATATTACCATAAATATAGTAAAATTATGTAATTTTAGTCAAATATTATAATTTATTTTTAATTTATACACATTATTGTATAAAACAGTCATTATATGAAACGGCATTACAGTATAGCAATAGATTATATTTCACAGTATTTATGCTTTTATTTCTATTTATTTGATATTACGATAGCTTTAAGTCAGTTATAGTCACGTGTATTGAACAACAGTTTTAATTGAAAATCAGTGATAAACTAATAATAAAGTTATTGTTATACTGTAGAAGACATCACCATTTAGTTGGTCCACATATATCATGAGTAAACGTCAGACTCCTAGTGAGTTCTTGAAGCAAATCATTGGTCGACCGGTTGTCGTCAAACTCAACTCTGGTGTTGATTACAGAGGTTTGTGTTTTTTGTTGTTATGGTTGGACTATATATGACATGATATGATCTTCAGGAGTGTTGGCGTGTCTCGATGGCTATATGAACATTGCATTGGAACAAACTGAAGAGTATGTCAACGGACAACTCAAGAATAAATATGGCGACGCTTTCATCAGAGGAAACAATGGTATGTCTTGTGATTAAGAAATTCTTACGATTAATAATACAATATATTATCAGTTCTTTACATAAGTACACAAAAGAGAAGAATCCAAAAGTGAAACAATCATTCATTACTTGAAAATTTTGTCACAAATCGATATCATTTAATAACATTTAATAACATTTTTATTTAAATTATAAAATGATTAAAACATTACTTTTTATATAATTATTCTTATTATTAAATGTTATATTTCTTTGACTGATTCATTGTATTTCTCTTTAATCTAACAATAATGATAACATCTTTTATAATTTCAATTTTTTCGATGTCCTCGTCATTGACATTAATGGCACGTTTGACATCGTCTTCTGTCCAATCGTTGAGTTGACTTCGAGAAACTTTAATGCTATCACTCGTTACATGTCTACCATTTTTATCGGTGTATGTAAAGAGTAATTTGTGTTGAAACGATTGGTCATCAATTTCAGGCCACTTCTGTTCAAACACTGATTTTGTTAAATCATATTCTTGAGAACAGTTCGCATGAGAAGTAAATCCCTGCCAACATTCCTGTGCAAAGTGTGGAACAAATGGTGATATCATTATGAGAAGAGCTGCCAAACATCTTTCGTATTCAATAGTTTTGACAACATTTGTACGAAAATACTTTCGCATTGCTTTTATCAGAATAAATATAGCCATTGTTGAACTCTTGAGGTTATAGTTATATTCAACATTATATATCACTCTTTCAATCGATTCATTTCTTGTCTGAAGTAACTCTCTCTTCGCTTTCTCTATTGATTTGTTGTCTAACTCTTTGACTTTATTATTATTTATAACAGTTTTTCCAGATTTTATATCACGAAACTCTTCGATTGTCAGTAGAACTCTATGAAAAAATATAATAGACGGAGAAAACTCTTTTTCTTCGGTGTCCCAAAATCTTTCTTTATCAGTGGTTCCATCAGCTATGAGTGTCCATCGAGTTGCATCTGATCCATATTTATCTACTAAATCTTTTGGATTGACACCATTTCCTTTTGATTTAGACATCTTTTCGTACTCAATGATAACATTACTATAATTTTTAGCTTCATTTACATCGATATATTTGCCGTTTAATTTATAAGTCTTTCCTTTGACTATCGACTGCATTAATAATCGATCAAATGGTTCTCTGAAGGGACACAAACCCTTTTGATGGAGAAAATGTGTTATAAATCGGGAGTAAAGGAGATGAAGTGCCGCGTGTTCTTTGCCGCCTACGTAACAAAATGTTGGCAAAACAGATGTAGAGTCAAATGGTTTGTCTAACAATGGTTTCGACGCATATCTCAAGAAATACCACGAAGAGTCAAAAAATGTGTCACATGTCTCTGTTTCTCGTAGAGCATCATTTGAACCACAATTAGGACATTTAGTGTATAACCTGGTATTGAAAAAAGATAAAAAAAAATTAGTTTAAATTATTTAAGTCGATAATATAGTTAGAGATATATATAACAAACCAATCATTTGGAGCACTATTTTTTATAGGATCTGATATATCACTAGATTCTGTAGATTGCATTTCAAATGATGTCAAAGATGGCAAACGTACGGGTAATTCACTTTCAGAGATGGGTTGTATTCCACATGACTTACAATAAACAATAGGTATCGGTGTTCCCCAATATCTCTGTCTTGATATAAGCCAATCTCTAAAAGTGGATGAAGTAAAATATCCACCGATTCCTAATTCTTGTGATTTATTTAAAATATTATTTCTGATCTCATTATTTTCAAATGTTTCTCTCATAACAAGTAATGTCGCCTGAGTTGACTCAGGTAGCTGTATATTGTCAATAATCTGGACATTCATGTGTTTATTGGTAAAAGGGTTTAAAACTTTGAGATCATTCATATAACTATTATTTAAGACTAACCAATGTTTTGGTGAAATAGCAATAAATGCTTTATCACTTGTAAACAGTTCTGGATATCGAGTAAACACTTGTATGATATCATTACTATTAGAAAATCTCAAATAAAACAAATATCCATTTGGTTTCTTCATCCAATTCCTTTGATAGGCCAGTATTTGACCCCAATGTCCACTGTTTTCAATATCAGACCCTTTGTATAACTCATTTACTAAAGAATTAGTTTTAATAAACCATTGTTTATGGAAACGTTTCTCAACTTTGGCACCACTTCTCCAGCTTTTTCCTTCACTATCGACCTGTTCATCGGCTAAAACTGTTTTATCAATTGGATCCCAATTAACAAATCCCATGCTTTTGTATGCGAGACCAGACTTGTATAACTGAAGAAATAGCCATTGAGTCCACTTATAATAGGTATCATCACTGGTACTCTCGCGCCAATTGAATTGAAACCCCATTTCATCTAATTGTTGTCTCATTTGATTTATATTAGTTTTGGTCCAAACATTTGGTTCAATGGAGTGTTCTTTGGCCGCATTCTCTGCCGGCAAACCAAATGAGTCAAAACCCATCGGATGTATTGTTGAATATCCCTGAAGATGACTCATACGATATATGACATCTGATGTCGTGTAGATCCTGACATGACCTTCAAAATCGATATTAAAACATAAGTTAAGATCAGATATGACAACAATTGTGGTTAAGACAACTGCAACCTAAATGTAAGGATCCGCTTGAATAGGGAAACATTGATAAAACATAACGACTTGTCTTTCGATGACAACTCGTTGATATCACTTCTCTCCAGTATTTGTCAACAAATGGTTTCCATTCGGTCTCAATATTCTTGAGAATTGGTGGCAGATATGTGTGACTTATTTGTTCAACAATACGTACTCTTTGACTCTTTGCGCTGAAGACCGACTCTTTGCGACAAAAATTTTTATTTATTAAATAAATACTTGTTTTACGTCTGAATAATATAACAAACATTTGTTCAATATATGAGTGACCTATTCATCTGATAATCAACTAAGACATGAAACTTTCAAAAGACAAGACACAAGTCATGTGTTGACATCTAAATAAACAGTTTGTCAACAAAAACATGTGTTTTGTGTTAACACGTGATTCACGTATTGTTTATTGAAATCTTATTTAAAGTACTTTACAATCACTTTAGTATCACTTTATTGATTGATCCGTTAAATTAGTTATATTTTGTGATACATATTAATAAAAGAAATGTCTTTAATGTCGGTTATTAGTGAAGGCGAGAGAAAATATATCTGCGGCGGTATTGATGTTAACATGAGATCCGACGGTCGGAGTTGCGATGACTATCAGCTGATCACTATTGAGAGGGATGTGACCAACAATTGTGATGGTTCTGCACATATCAGATGTGGTAATAATGATGTTTTAGTTGGCATTAAATTGGAGATTGAATCGGTTATAAAGACACAAGAATGGGATCAAAGAGGAAGAATTGACTTTTCTGCTGATATCACAGCAAACGCTTCACCGATGTTTGAGGGAAAACAAGGCGAAGATATGACCAATATTTTAGTGAATCTATTCTCGGAGTCCATTCCACACTATATTGATCTGAAATCGCTGGTTGTGGTGCCTAACAGATCCTTTTGGGTCATTCATATAGATATTGTGGTTCTCGAGTGTGGATCTCTTCCGTCTCTTATTGATTGTGCGGCCTTTGGCATCAAAGCTGCTCTTTTTGATACAAAGTATGTCCACAATTAAGTTTTAAGAGTTTTATTGTGATATCCATTATATTATACTCAGAATACCAAAAGTGAGTATAGTTTCGGACGATTCCAATGATTTTGTCGTATCTGAAGATGAATTTGAATCGACAAAACTGGATGTCACACGAGTGCCATTGTTTGTGTCGGTGTCCAGAATCAGTACCCGATATGTGGTAGACGTTACTCGTGAAGAGGAAGAAGCCAGTATTGCCAGCATATCATATGCAATAAACTCATTTGAAGGAATTGTTTATATGAAGAAACTCAAGTCTGGAAGTCTACATCCGGAACCGATTAAAGATATTTTTGAGGTTTAACTCATTTAGCGGTAATAATATGTCTGAGTTTTAAATAATAATTTTATTTATTACTTACAGAAAGTTCAAAATATTGGTCACTCACTAAATGAATGTCTTATCTCTAAGTTAACTGATTCACAAAATAAGGGAAAAATTAGTTTTTTAATGAATTGATATCAAACATAATACCAATTGACTCATTATTAATAATATCATTCATTAAATATTCATTAGTAAATTATTTTTTAAATATTCATTGAATTATTTTATTATATTATCAATACAATTATCAAATCAAATAGATAAATCCCATATATAAAAACAAATTAACTAATAATCTAATTAATCTATTAAATGAATAACAAATTATTTACCGGTAATCAGATTAATAAGTGGTTATAAATAAATAAGTAAATGAAAAAATCAAAATGAAACATTTTTTATATACATATCACCGAAACATTTATTGCTTTATAGTTATGTTTGAAATATTTATTCAGATTACCGGTAGATAAGAAAATATTTATTATTTAATTTTTATTAATCATTTCTTTAATGAAATTCTGTCCAAAAATATTTGCTTCTGTTTTAAATTGAAATCAATAATCATTTGACAATCAGTTGCTTTACAATCCATTTGATAATCTAATTGATGTAAAGAGACGAGTGGTGTCTTGCGATGAATAGTCCAAACATTGCTAAAGAATCGGTTACCAATTGCTTCTGCCATTAGATAATCATATGAATCAATAGATGAGTTATCTGTTGGCAAAAAGACTGAAACTAAAAGACATTTCTTATTATTCTTTTGCCGGCAATTGTTAGCAGTATTGATGAGAAGGGCTGACAATTCTGCCATCAATTCTTTGTAGTCTTTGTTATGGCTTTTGTGTCGTTTATTACGTGGTTCGTTGTCTTCACTTTTTTCAATTTGTTGATTATATTGTTTGACGAAATGAAAGATATTGTCGACAACTATAGCTATCGGTGAAAGTTTTGACGATTGAATACCTAACAAATGGTTGACCAGTGAGTCGTAAGTGTCTAAGTAGTAGATCTTAAGGAAATTAAGAGCTGATCCATTAGTAGTATCAATGATAGGCATATCATTGATAGCAATTGGTATTTCAGTAATGACTGTATTTGTGATATAATGGACTTCTTCATAATGATTGGTCACAACAGATACCATGAGTTGAAAAACAATACTTGATTTGCATCGCATGTGATTTGATATCAACAATAGACTATTGATGTCGTTGTTGTTACCATCGATGACATCACTTGTTTTGGTGATCGACTTAATGGGAAATACGAGTGAAAGCATTGTCAACACATGGGATCAACTCTTGATTTATAAGTCAATCATAAGGCAAACGTTGTCTATGAGTCACTCAATCAATGCATACAATGCTTCACATTTGGCGCACATTTAATACAATACTTAAACACAAATCATATGTTTGTTTGCATTTAAAGCTATAATAAACACAACAATCACTATAAATGCAATCACTTGTCAAAAGTGTATCTCATTGTGTAATACATTATATTTACGATATCTTTATTGTTATCTATGTTTTAATTAATTTATATAAATATCTAAATAAACAATTTTTATCTGTTAATATCTAATAAAAAGTTTTTATATATTGTGTTTAACCAGTGATTTATTAAATATTTACAGATTATTGTTATAATATATATTAATGTATGTATGGTATAATTGATCACAAAATAAATACATATATTTTATTATAAACCTATAATTTGTTATTTTTTAACTACTGTATAACAATTTAATTATATATTAAACTTAAATATTTTAAAAATAAGTTATTGATATATAGTTTTATTGAATATTATAGGATCATTGAAAATGCAATTAAAAATACTATTAATTCTATATATTATAGAGTATATCACATAAAAAATACTTTACTATATAAACAACAAAAAGCTATAATTTATTGATTAATAATTATATGACAGTAGAAGTCTTAGTACTGTATAGTATAGCATATATTATATTTAAAATTCAAAGTCTTATTATTGATATGAATGTCAACTGAATAAAAAAATATTAGAAATTGAAAAATATTTTTAAAAATAAATTTAAAAATTAAATGTTTTTAATTAAAAAAGTATCTTGGCAAAATAGTATAATAATTAAAGTGACTTGTGTTTTTTATTAAATATTTTTTACAAATGTTTCAATTTATTGTTATATATAAATATATATAATATATACATAAATAATATGTATATAAAGTGAAATAATAATAGCAGTAAACTTGAAAGTCAAATATAATGAATGAAATGATATATTTATCATATAATTGTATGAATAGACTATTAATGAAAGTAAAAGCAATGTTACTCTTATAATAAAAAATAATAATAATATTAATACAGTAATAATTGCTCTGTCATTAAGCTATACGGCAAATGTCGCCGCAATTGTCATAAAATGTAATGAATTAATCAAATGATAAAATGGTTGGTCTCCTGAATCTCAGACATAAAAAATTTGTGTTATTTTGATAAATCATTTTGTTTTTGTAATACAAAGTCAATATAATTAAGTATTTTTGTTTTAATATTCAAAATATTCTTACAAATGCTTGTAATGATTCAATATTCAAAGCAATCAATTAATGCATTTATTGGCCAACTTTTCCTAATAATTGACTTTATTATGAAAATGATTTTTATATTTTAACATAAGTATCAAATAAATGAAATCAAAATTTCATTAAAACAAATGTTTGAATTATTTCCATTGTTTTAATCATAAAAGGAAACAAATTTTTGATTTAAATATATATATATTACTGTTATATACACTTTACTGATAAAATTGATGAATAAATCATCAAACTATTTGTAAAAATGTCATTAATGAGTGCATTAGATAGGGGTACGGCTTCTATAGGTATGTGCTATTCATTTATTATACTGTATATTATATATATATATTTTATTAATAAAATTTTGTGTTAAAGATTGGTGTGAATCAAACTACCGATACTCTCCAATAATCGCCGAATTTATAAATACTGTACGATATATCCTATAATTAATGTTTATAAAGTTTTAAAATATGAATTCAATTACAATTTTATTAAACCTATGTTTTATCAATAATATTAACAATAGGTTACAAATATATTATTTCTTGTATTTCCTGCACTATTGAGCCAACTGTTCAAACAATACGCCCAAACCGTTAACCGAGGAGTTTATGTCATTTGGTTTTTGTTTGCAACGGTAGGCATCTGTTCGGCCTATTTTCACGCAACTCTTAGTCTTGTGGGACAATTGCTCGACGAGTTGGCCATTCTATGGCTAATGGCGGCCGCTTTTGGCATGTGGTTACCCCGTAGACATTACCCGTTATGGCTAAACAGAGACAGGTATCTCTATAATGATTTACTCAATAAATTGCAAATAACATGTTTTTATTGATAACTTGCAGAAAGCAATTTCAATACCTAATGTTTAGTCTAAGTTTGTTTGGGTCAATGATATCGTGTTTGTATCCCTGGTTTAACTGTATAGCACTCATGTGTTTAGGAATCCCCGCATTTGTATTCTTGGGGATGGAATTAAAAGAGTAATAATTGTTAAAATTAATATAACATGAGTTGGATGTATTTGGTCTCTATTTGTCGACCTACAGGTGCCGTAACTCAAGAGTAAAAAGGTTAGGACTGCGATGTTTCCTCTGTTGGATCTTTGCAATGTTCAGTTGGATATTTGATCGACTATTTTGTGATGTATGGTCTGCCGTCAACTTTCCATATCTTCACGGCTTATGGCATATATTGATAGCCATCACCTCATATACGATATGCGTTTTATTCGCCTATTTTGATGCCATTAAAGAACACGAAGAGAAACAGCCGGTTCTCATGTTTTGGCCGCGAAATGAGTTCCAATTAGGCGTTCCTTATGTGGTCCTCAAGAATGCCAATTGATTTACTTATTATATTCAAGTCTTCCTCTAATATACAACTAGTCTTAAAGCAATTCCATTACTGATTATACAATATTAGTGACAATTAATATATTACTACGATATGACTGACAGTTATTAATCATTTCCTTATTAGACATTAAGTGAGATATTTAATAAAGGATTTACTGTTTATTATTATTTTAATAGAGATATATAATGTTATATTAATAATTGGTTAACAAATTAGATATTTTAATATTCATTAAAAATAATTTTTAATATAATACAAAATAGATTAACTTTTATTAGAATTTAGTATAAATATATTAATTTATAGTTTATATGATCTGAATTAACTCTCAACTATTATAGCAATACTAAAAATAACTAGTTTAGTCATTAATGCCGGTATTGTTATTATGTATAATATGTATCAAATTTAAACATCAAAACAACGACATTTTATGCACTTTTGAACAAATTGTTAATTTATAAAATTAATTTATCTAGAATTTAAAGGTAATAATCGGACAAATAATTTATCTGATTTGTTGTAGATAACTATAGATAATATATTTTAATTTCCGTCCAAATGTTTTCAAATAAAATACTTTTAATTTTAACTTTGTAAATCATAATTAAAATGATAGCAAATAAAGCAATATTTCAAACTATAGTTTTTTAAAAATTATTACTAACTTAAATATGGGTCGTATTATTGCACCGATAAATTAATTACCGGTAATTAATTATTAAAAATAAACATGGTCAAATAAATCATTAATGCTTATAAAATTTTTTATTAGAGTAAAAGATAATTTGAACAATGATTTTTAAAATACAAATATATATTTTTAGCAAATTATGAATTATCTTTTAGTGATTCAAAATTAGATGCTTTGTATAATAATCAACTATTGGGCACATTATTAAAGCTTTAACCTTTTAATTCAAAAATATTTTTATCAAAACTCAATCATTTTAGACCCAAAAAAGAGTACCGTTAATTGTTTGGTATAATTGTAAAACTAATAAAAGAAATTTTAAATCTAAATATGATTAATATATGGCGTAATATATATATAAATATCATAAATATAAGTATTTTTTGATTTGTTTTGCGTGTGTGTTACTATTGCATCACATTATGGCACACCTTTCCTGAGCTCCCTGGCCATCCACCTTACAATAAAAATTAATATTATTAATAAGAGTAATCAATTTACAGTCAAAACCGTTTAGTGTGAACAAGCTTCGGGTGAATACTCACAAAATGACACATTTTGTACATTTCATAGGTTTAACATATGGACATAATTAACATTTTTAAACGATTTTTATGGGAAAAGAAAAGCTAACATTTTTAAAAATGTGATACAATATATTAGTTCACAATAAGCGGGTTTTACTGTACTTACTTCTAATCAATACTGGATTATTAGCAAACCTGTTGTGATCTCAGATAACCCTCTGAGGAGCGTTGGGCTGAAGCACTGACCAGTCGTTTAGATGTCTTGCGAGTCGCCATTTCCTGGATAAATCAAATGTCAATCATTAATACCTAAATAATTAACAATTTTTCTTTAACTAAAACCTCTCCATTATTATTAAGTAAAGTTGTTTGCATAGCATCTGATGTAAACCATGTCTGACCCTTCATTACGATATCATTTGGTGGACTATGAGCTGCATTGCTGTCCGAACTCCACACAGTGATGGTTGTATTGGGTTTAATAACAATCGATCGGTGAAACTTGAAGTGTGTGTCCAAATCACCGGCATTTCGAATGAGTTGCCAACCGCTGAGAGAAACTTCTTTATCTCCTTTATTGAATAACTTGACGTATTTGCCCTCATAGTCGTGATCTGATATCTCAACATCAGATTTCGAGTTCGAATTAACCACAATATCCACTGTATTTTCCTCTTCTTGTAGATAAACAGTTCGCTTTCTTTTAGCACTTCTAGGTGTGTAAGTGCGCGGAGAAACTACTCGACTACCAGAGCTGATCACTGGTGATGATTGAGGAGTAGATATATTAAGGCGACTTTCTTCTCCTTCCAATAATTTTCTATACGCACTAATTTCCATATCCAATGCAATCTTAATGTCCAATAAGTCGTGGTAATCATTTAACATACTTTTTGTTTCATCTCTTAATTGTTTGATTTGATCGTCTTTAGCTTTCAATGCATTTTCTTTCCATTCCCTTTCCTGTTCAATAAGTCGTTCCAAGTCTTTAATTCGGTTATTAAGCGATTGATTAACAGACTCGAGTTGAGTCAATTTAGACACATTTGTCTCCAATTTGGTCTTTAATTGTGTCAATTCATTGTTCAACGCATTTGATGCGTTCATTTTGTTGTCCAAAGCATTCTTCAGATCTTGAAATTGCAGGTCATATCTGCGTTCAATGTCTTCTCTATTCATCCTAAGCTGTGAGTCGTTCTCTTCTCTTAATTCTTTGAGTTCATCAGCTAATCGTTGTTCGTATTGTTCTCTGATCTGGTCGTTAACCATTTCAGTAATTTCTGTCTCCTGAGTCACTTTCGTCTCTTCCAATTCTCTTTCATGAATCTGTTGCTTGAATTGCATCTCTTCTTTCATACTTTGAATACGATTCTCAAAGTCAACTCTCAAAAGTGTTTCTTCTTGTAGTTGTTTGCGAATCGCTTCCAATTGGTTCTCCATTCGATTGATATCGGCTTTAGCTTCTTTAAGGTCATCTTCGGCTCGTTTACGATCAGAAACTGCTTGATTAAGTCGAGCCTTCAATTCGTCAACATTTGACTCCAGATTATTGATTCTTTTATCAGCGTTTGATAATTCCTTATCTTTTTTATTAAGCCTAAAGTGTGACAAAAAATATAAAAAAAATTTATATCATGTATTTCACTATAAATTGTTTAAATGATGACATCACAAGAATGTGTCGATTCAATGATAAGCTCTGCTAATAATTACAATAGTAATAGTAATTACTTTATATATTTGAAAATAACTGAGATTTGAGGCCTAAAATGTGCTTTAAATGGCAATACAAATACTTTACAAACAATTCAATCAAAGTTATTATTATTAATATCATATATTAATAGTAGAAATGCATGTTTGAGTACAATTCACAACACTATTGTTAACATTATTATTAAAACTATTTTAAAAACCACTAAATCTCATAAACTACTAAATGTCTAAATCTGTCAATAATTATGATTAATAATAAACCATTAAAATAATCAATTTTACCGATTGTTAATTACCGTAAATGAAATGGTATTACAAATAACATTAATAAAAATAAAATATATTAGAAATAATATTAATATTAATATGAAAAACAATAATAAAGATGTATTACTTGAGAGAAACATCTTCGACATCGTTCTGCAATTTGTTTGCCTCAATCTGAAGCCGAGCCTTGTCTTTGGCGGTCTCGTCAAGCAATCGTCGGGCGTCTGCGATCTCCTTCTCGTATAATGTCTTAATAGAGTATACTTCTCGAGTGACCGTCTCTTGACTGGACTGGACCTGAACGGACAGTCGACTGTTTTCCGACTCTAGATGTCTGACTCTTTCAATATAATTGGCCAATCGGTCATTCAGTCCTTGGAGTTCAGTCTTTTCCTGAAGTCTTGATAATCTCGATGGCGATTGAGGACTGACAGGTCTTTCACTAGAGCTCACCTGTTCTCCCGAAGAAGTGGTGATTGTTGTGGTGGCCAAAGACTTCTTATGTGATTTAGTCGCCATTTGTGGTCAACTAATGATAGATATTAAGTAATTAACTATAAAATCGATGCAAATTTAATGTTAATACATATAAAAGCAATGAAATACCGGTTATTATAGTATTAAATGTTTGATTGAAACACAACTCAATGCTGTTGTCAAACACCGCACCCAATGGACACCCAATGGACGCCCCATTCATACCCTTTAACACCGATTGCAGCGCCCATTGGATCACTACATGTATCACACTTTTAGCGCTATTTTTAATTCAATACAATACAGTGTATAATACAATGTATAATACAATGTATAATACAATGTATAATACAATGTATAATATGTGTATAATATGTGTACCGGTATATCATATTTATCTGACATTTCAATTAACTGTAAATTAGTTTTGTTTGATTATTATTATTATATAAATTCTTTTAAAAATTATTATTTTTTAAAATAAATTTTCTGAATAGTTTAATATTATTATTAAATATCAAATATACAGTATTTGTTATACAAAATATCAATTATACTTATTATACAGTATTAATTAATTAATAAAAATAATTATAAAAAATAATAAGTGAACTTATATTATTTAAAATAATATTTATAAAAAATTATTTTTGAATCGATATAAAAGTTAAGTAATCGGTCATTTGTTAAATAAATTTATATTTATTACATATTATATATTTATTATTATTAAATTTTGTTATCTAATTAATACACTAATAAAACATTTTATTAACAATAATAAGTAAAAAATATGTTTTTATAAGTAATTTGCAATTTCATAATTTTTTGTAATAAGTATGTAAATAGTAAATAGCAGTAAATACAATATTTTTTGTTGCAATTCATTTATGATATAAAATGAATTGACAAATATATTAAATAATAACTGCAGTACTTTAATATTATTATGAGAATCATTATATCTTATATTCAAAGATAACAAAAATCGGAAAATACTAAAAATAATTCCTAGTGTATATATTAATGTTTTTATTGATTAACTTTATATACAGAATTTTTAAAATTTTAGTTAAAATTTAAGTTTTTATTAATTTTAAAAAATATTTCTGGGAATATTTACCTATTTTCCTGGGAATTTACATGGGAATTTTAAGAAATTTACATGGAATTGTAGGAAATTTACATGAGAATATTCGTGAATTTTCTATTGATTTTGGATTTTAGAATAAATTGCCGATTAAAAATACAATAAAAGTATACACTCACTTTATATCTCCCCAAGATTTTTCGAAATTTTTGTCATTTGACCCCCCCCCTAGACCCCCCTAAAATTAAAAAGTTTACTTAAGTAAATTTAAAACAATTTTTGAAAAATAAATAAATTTTAAATAATAAGTTAAGTATAATATTATTTTTTAGTTAAATATAACTAGAATATTTGACTATTAATTAAGAGAAATATTTTTTAAAAAATTTAATATAACAAAATAAAGTTGTAAAATAATTACAATAATAAATTAAAACAAAAATTATATTTTTAATTTGTTTTGATTTTCTCAGTTTTCCCTAAATCTATGAGTTATAACAATAATGATCGTAATCTCATATTATTATCATTAATATATCGCTTGCATTGTATTGTATTGTTTTGTAATAATTATTTCCAATATTCTTGATGTGAGTCAGCATTTGATCTTAAAATAAGAAAACATTTTTATTATTGAATTAGTTAAACATTGAATTTAATTAAAATTATAATATAATTATATTATCTTCTTATAATCTATAATTAATATATAAAAATATATTTTATTTTATAAAACAATAAATTAATAATTTTAATAGAATATATCAATATATATATATTAATATATAAAAAAACACAGTCAATAATTTACATACTGTATAAATATTTTGTGTATTTTTAATATATTTCATATTAAGTACATTACACTGATGTATAATAAGATATACATTGTATATATATACAGGTAATTTATATATCGATATGATGAATATATAATAAAATAAGTGTTATTATAAAAGTTATATTTAATTAGTTATATTACAAATAGATTAAATGCAAAAGTTTTAATATATATAATAAAAGAGAATCTTTATATTTATTGAGGAAATGTTATGTGAGTTGTATTACTCGGCATATTATGCATCGACACATTTGCTTAGGTTTATCGCCAATATGTTTGCCAATTCACGCACTGACTGTCTGTGATATCAGCAAAAAATAAAACATAGAAAAATGCATTTCATTTCATTTATAATTTATATAAAATAATGTGTATATAGAGAGATATATATGAAATATTGTTATTTTACTGAATTTGACACAAACTGCTTCGTCACCTACAATGAAATGATATATTTTTGTAGATATTATCTCAATATATGTTACTTTACTTTGTTTTCATTTGAATTAAGTTATAAAAAACAAATGACAACTTACTTCACATCAAATACTCAGTTGATTGCATTCATTGAATTCATATGGGAATTGATTTTATAGTATTTATTTAGATATTTACTAATGCTATTGTATTGCTATTGTATTAAATTTAGAAAAATCAAACTTAAAACTATATTATTAGTTGTTTCGTAATTTTCATTATATTCGTTGGTTTGCAAAACAAAAAAAGTCACTTTCAAAGTAAGTAATATCATGATATATTTTTGATATATTTTTTTGAATATTTATATAATTTATTATATTATTTTAATAACTAATTATTAAAAATTTTATTAGAAATATAAATATTATTAATTTAAATGTAATTTTATACAATATAACATTAATTCGAAATAATAAATATATTTACAATACTAATAATCAATATTTTCACACATTTTGAATTTTCTGAAAATTATGTTTTATAATTATATTTTATATTTTATAAACTTTACTTTTAGATTATTAATATTCTTACTATTAGATTTTACATTTGCAAATACTATTGTATAAATAATTTAGTAATTGTGCAATTTATTTTTTTTATTTAGTACATTGTTTAAAATAACATATTACCGTATTTTTATGCTAGATTAATAAAAATATGTTAAACGTTTAGTTTTGTTAGTCACAAATAATTTTTAAATTATTGTTAAATATCAGACAAATATACAGTATATATATATACCTGTATATATATATATATTTATTTATATTTATATTATATAATTGATTGACTTTTTGACGGTCAACGACATCGCGACAACATTTAAAACATTAGTTTAAATTCAATCGATTTTTAGACCAGTTCTTGAGGTTTTAACATTTATTTAATACAAAAATATCTAATTTTTTTGCATGTATTATCGATATATAAATTTAAATTATTTTTGTTTATGATAAAATAAAAATGATTTTATAATATACAGGTATTTTTGTATTTATTTACATATAATATATATACTGTAAATATTGTTTTTGATGTTAACTTTTATAAACTTTTAACTCAATATAAAACTTTTATCTGAACTAAATTTTATTAAAGCTTTATCTAATAAAAATTATACAAACTTAACAGTCTAACAAATATGTTTAATGATAATATTTATATTTATAGTGTATTTTTATATGTTGTCTTTTAGTAAATATAAACAAATTATATTATGTGTAATACACATTGTGTATTATAAAAATATATTAAATAGTAATTGATTTAATATTTAGTACTAAATTAGGAGGAAATGTAATTTTAATTTAAATATAAAATAATTTTGTTTGTCTGGTCTTTTATTTCTCTAATAAGATTGTTTAAAATTATTTTTACATGCAATATAAGTTAGTATAAAACCACTTGAATATATATACTGTATATAGTATGTCGTACAATGTGGAGGGCACAGGTAGGAGCACAGGTGCACGTATGACATGCTTTTCATTTACTGCAAGTGCTTTTGAGATTCATCATTATATATAGTATACTAACTTATATATATATATATATACCGTACAGTATATCTATTGAAGCAAATATTGTTGTATACGACTTAAGTTAAATAGATTTAAGACTATATAACAACTTTAAGGTCAATCAGATTTTTCTCAGCCTTTCAGTAGTCATCTCTATCTTTCTCTCTCAAAGCCCTTCATTGAACTGAGAGAGAGAAGAGAGTCATACTATGTGTTAACTATTATACAGTATTTAGTGATTTTGATGGCAGAAAATATTTAAAGAGCAAACTGGTTATGAAAATGTTTGATAGAAAAAAAAAGTTTATTTATTACTAAATGAGGCAAAAACATTAAAAAGTTGTTACCACTAATCACTAATAATACTAAAGATGGTTAAAATTCTCGATTTTTCTCATTTTCTGTAAAATGAGTATCAATTTTAACATAAATGTAATGTAATGTTTGATATAATGTTTAGTAAATTATTTAAATGTTTTTACTTATAAATTAATTTTATAATAGTATACATATAGTTATAAATTTCTAAACTTTTCTTTATGTAACAATAAGTTAACTTAGTTTGTGAAACTGCTTTTATTGTTTACAAAATTTAGATTATTATTTGTGCCAACAATTAAAATAATTGTTTGGAGAGTTGGGGCCAATGTCTGAGTGTCTCAGCGGGTGTGCGGCGATTGACTGACTGAGTGGTGAGTTTGTATCCACATATTTAGCTCCCAATTCAATATTTATTTATCATTGTCTTTCTTATTGTCTATTTATAAGTACAACATTGTGTATATTACCTACAGAAACATATAGGAAACATCTAAAACTGTTTTATAATATCAATGTATTTTTAACTTAAGATATATTTTCATATTTTATTTAATTTAAATTAATAAGTTTAAAAAATAAACAACAAAATTATTAATATTATTTAATCGTATTAATTACTAACAAAAAATATTAAAACTTCATAGAAATATACATAAATCAATGATATATTGTAGTGCAGAGAAGATAAAGTCCTAAAGTTTAGTATGAGTCCCAAGTTTGGCGATGAATTGCTTGGGGCGCCGGTGCGCGGGCTGTGCTAACTATGGCCTCAGTCATCGGAATGCAGTCTGGACCACATGCCATACCATATCATACCATTCCACTACAGGGCCCGATATACTGGTTCTGCGCTCTACACACTGCACACCCGTATTAGTGACTTGAATGTAGACTTAGAGTCACTGTTAACTCGAAAGTCTACTTTGATATAATCTTTTGGTTAAAGGCTCTCTCATTTATGGGACAGGTATTTGAATTTCTGATAGAATCGCCAATCTTTTAGCTTATGAGCGCACATCACTTCAATACATGCCTGTGCTGTGTATGCCCATCGTCTTTATACCTGTGCACTCAATACTCTGCCAAAACCTTTGAATGAAAGTGAATGCTATACTTTCAGTCGAAGTCATATATATTTAAATATATAGAAAAATAAGTTATTTATTATTAATAATTAGTTATTTATAAATGTGCAACTTTTTCATCTATTTATAACAATATATATTCTAAATCAATATTTGATTATATTATCAAATTGTTGTTCAATTAACTTTACAATTGAAAATAATGAAATGTTTTGTAGTTATAAATTATTTTTTAAAAATAAATAGTTACTAATTTATGAAAAGTTAAGCAAAGCATCGACTCGAAGGGCAAGTATTTGTATTTTTCCTTTAATTTAAAAAATTGTTAATTTCTATAACATTCATATAACAAATGTTGAAATACCTGTAAATTGAGTGTTACTATCATTGATGGTGTGCTTGAATTCCACAATATATTTGATGAACAAATATTTAGACACAAACATCAATGTGTTGCTTGTTTTATGTAATATATTTATCATTTAAATTGTGTATTTGATATACAGTATTAATAATATTAATGAAAATGTTTATAGATTTCTTTGTACATAAAGTGTACCAATAGTTTCAAATTTAAAATATTGATAACACTGTTGATGTATACTTATTACACGAGATTACAATTTGGACTCATTTTGAAATAAGTATTGAATGGTGTGGTATGTATCTCGGAATAAAATAATTATAACTTTATTGGCATTATTTAAAATCTACAATTTATAATATACAGTTATATTGTATTTATATGGTTATAAAACAGAGTCTATGATATTAAAAATAAAACTATTAATTAAGTTCTAGCCGTCTGTATATTAACATTATATTTGATATCAAAAACCTTTTGAAACTATCACTTATATCTCATATTTAAAAGATTTTAAATAAACGCCTTTTTTCTTTGATTACATGGTTTATGGTCTGAGAAATATAATATGATTTTATATTATAAGTACACTATTATATGTTTGTATTATTTTACTGTTTGTTTCTGTTTTCCCACAGAATAATTGGCTTTAAAAAAATCATAATTCAAGCATTTATGTGAAAATTTGCAAATATTTCATAAAATGGTTGGATTTTCGACCTTTGATTTTGTTTAATAAACTTATACGCAATATATTGTATTTTAAAATACTGTATATATCTACTAAATATATTAGTTATAAATTGTCAATTGAGGAGTTGTTATTTTCTTTGGTTATCTAGCTGTATGAGTATATATGTCGACATCATAAAGCTAGGTTACCAAAGTTAACAACAATTCTCAACTCATCCCTCATAATAATACCTATAATACCGGTGCCATTCATACTATTTAAATCAACATTTAAGTCAATCATTTAACAACAATATTACCATTTTTTGTTGTTTATTACTTTATATGTAAGTTTAATCATCACTTACTCATACATACCATTAATGGTAATAAATGATATGTTAAAGTATGTGAGTATATGGTGTTAATATAGTATAATAAATAATTATTATATTTTAAATATATTGTCATTTCAAATTAAGTTTATATATTAGACATAAATATATACATACTGTAGTTATGCAATTGGCCGGTATAATATAAATAACTATATATATATATAAATTATGTTATATGTGTTTATAATTTAGTAATTTTTTAATTTGTAGAATTGTAATGTAATATGTAAAATGTAAATAACTATTTTTTATTTAATAATATAAATATATATAATCTAAAAATTTAATTTAATATACTTTAAATCCTGGTCTCAATGGAGAATCGGGTCATAGATTTTGTATTCTAATTAAAGGAAAATATTATATAACTTAATAATATTTTGCATATTATTCCTTAAGCGAGTGATAAAATGAGACAAATATTTACAATCGTTTTTTAACCAAAAACTTGTTTTTAAGTAATAAATTATTTTATTTTATAGATATGCGACAACAAAATAAAAATTCAAAAGTTAGTAAAATAAGTTTTGACCAAAAAAGTGATAATATATAAATCATACATAATTTGTTGATATTTTAATATTTCAAAACTCGTTGTTTGATAATTTATATTTATATAACTAGTGGTTTGTATAAATTTATACTGTAAATTATACACTATGTATTAATTGTGATATTCACTAAACATAATTACAACATTATACTTGTATCAACAAAAGTTGATCTCAAAATTGCAAAATAAAAAATATTATGATAAATGATAAAAACAAAAAAAAAAATCTAAATAATTGTATTTTAAAAATTATCTAAAAATTATTTCTAAATATGTAAACTTTATATTATTATTTTATATTACTTTACGATTTCAGTACATTATATACTTTTTAAAAGTGATAAAAACTTGCATTACTTATAATTTAAAAAATTTATTGAAAAACTTAATTAAGTGGTTAAATCAGGAAATGCTTGTAAATATTAATATATAGTGAGAAGTGAGATTAAATATGTCAATATAATTTATTATTTTAAATAAATAAAAAATTTAATAAATAAGTTTTTACCCAAAGTTCATTGATGCTATTATTAATAATGTTTTTATAGTTGTTTATATTAATTAAACATTTAGTTCATATTATTTTAGTAAAAATTAAATTTAAAAATAAATGTTTTCCAAATTTATTTCCTTATTTATTTTACTATTATAATATATCATACAAAATGTTATAACAATGTGATATTAATTAAAATTAATAAAAATTTCAAAAATACAATATAACGTTAAACAAATATCTACGAATTTTATTATATAACAAATAATGAATTTAAATATAAATTATTTTAAACTTATTTAATAAATAGCTTTGCAAATAAACAATCATAAGATGCGATGTCTATCAGTGAAACTTATTGTACCCGAAGTGGTCGATCCAATATCTTGAGCCGTATTATTCAGTTCATCCATAAATGATTTAAAATTATGAACAGTAGTTCCACCCAAAAGTATTTTTACTCCACTAAATGTTCGGTTGAGTTCATTAACAACACACGATTCCTCATAAGTAGTGCCGCCGATCATAAAAACGATAATCTCTTGAGGTTTATCTCGTAATTGAATTGTTCCCAAATATGGATATAAAACTTCTTTAAGTTTTCCTTTTATCAGATCTTCGAGAATCTCTTTGAGTACCGGCGAGTGCTGTGTATATATGTTTTCCACACCTTTTAAACCTTTTATCATCTTTTTGGTAAAAGACTTGACGTGTTCTGTACTCAACAGTTCTGTGGCACTAATAGTTGTCTGACGTTTAGTTCCGATAAAGTTTAATATGTGAGACACCAACTGTTCATTTAAAATATCAATTATACAATCAATTTATATTTAAATAAAATTAAAATAATATAAATATTACTTTTATTTGCTTATCACTAATCCCTTTCCTTTTAAGCAAATGAGTAATTTCTTGAATATCTTCACTATTCTTCTCAAATCGTATGGCAAACAACATCGCAAGTCTCATAGCATCCAAATCACGGATTTTCTCACTGGATATTAATCTTTTGACTTTCTATGCATTTAAATAATTAAAATATTTGTGTCTATTATAAATAAATTATTTTTTAGAAATTTACTTTTAAAGATTCCGATCGATCAGATTGACAAACCAACTCTTGTTCAGCTTCTGATACTTCAAAAATATTATGAAGTGAAACCAATCTAAAGAGTTCATCGATTAGAGTCACATGTTTTGTAACAGTTCCAGACATCTTCTTAAACTGTGGATACGTCTCAATGAAAGACTTCATGTCTGCTATTGACTCAACTTTTTTCTGGCTTTTCGTTTTAATTTGAAATTCATCCATCAATTGCTTAATATTAGCACAAATTTCACCATAATTTAGATACATATTCTGTAAATTAAATTATTTGTCAATTAAGTTAATTAAACTTATTTAATAAATAAATGGTATATAATGTGTACTTTTTGGTAGAAGTCGTCGTGTTCTTGAGATAAAACCACTTCTTTGATATCTTTAACTCCGGGAACATTGGAAAGATTGATGCGATTGTTGTTAATGTTCAGCAATTCATGTAACTGTGCCTCATATGTCCACTAAATATAATCAATTTGTTAGTATAAGTAAAACATACAAAAAAAGCTTAAATACTTGATTAAGACATGGAGTGATTGGATCCAATTTTCGATCCAAAATCAGTAAAACTGGTGGAACTGTCGGTTCATAAGTATTGGAATGATTTAATGAACTCTTTCTAAAGTCAAACAATAGTCCCTCTCTTGCAATGGTTTGTCGTATACTTTCGGCCAATCGTTTACATAATTCACTGTTTGATTGGTATCTTATCGTTGGATTTCTCTTCAATGCTAACAAAACACTGATAATGGCTTCAGAACTGCGCTGAAGAGCTGTTTGGTTCCAACTCTTCCATCCGTGATATGTATTGTTAATATTAATGGAGAACAAGTGAGGACTAATAGCCAAGAAATCGCAATAATATTCGTTGACATCTTTTACTACTTCGCACTCATCGGCTTCGGCTAAACACTTGATATCTGTTTTGCTGATAATGTTGGAGAAAAATATGTGGTATTGACCGAAATGTGGTCGACTTAGCTCTTGTCGCAACAAATCAATATTCACTTGTGTTGGTCTCACAAATGTAATGCACTTCAAGTACTTCATCGGTTCCGACAATCGGCTTAAGTTATCCAATGTCTCAAACAAGTAAACCTCTTTTTGTAACATTTCTGATTGTAAATATACTAAACTTACGATTGATATCTTCGGAGGCAAACAAAGTAGACATCAATTATATATCATATTTCTATAACTTATTAATCACTTACTGTTTGTCTATCCATAAGAAGTACTTTGAGTCCAATACCACATTCTTCAACCATACGATTCAAGTAAAGCTTAACCGCTGCGATCACATCCATTGTCATCAATGATAATATCTTTCAAATCTATTTACCATTAAATCGATGACAGAAGTGATGACTGAGTTATGCATCGAAAACACAATAACGTCAACACAAACATTGCTGAAGACATAAGCAATGTATTAATTATTATAACTATTTTTAAGTTTTATTATCACTTTATTATCTCTTTAATAACCATTAAGTTTAACATTTAATTAAAACCATTTTATATAATTAATTAGTATTTGAATAATATTTGTCATAATTAACACAAAATTGTGATTACAATTAAATGCAAATTTAAATTAATTCATAACATTATTGATGACAAACACTATTATTAATGCATTAAAATCTTTTAATGTGTTATTAATTTAATACTCAATATATTTGTTTATCAATTGATTGTCAATTGTTTGCAAAATCATTATTTGATTATTTATTTATCAAACTATCAAACAATACATAACAAGTTTTACATCATTGGTTATAATCACTTGTTTTGAGGTAAGGTCTCTACTATTGAATTGTATTATAAATATAATATATTTAATGATAATTACTTTATCACATATTTATACAAATATTTATGTAAATAAATTGAATATAAATTAATTGTTTAATACTATACTACAGTACAGTATTAATATTGATATTACTATACATTAATGACTTAACAAACAATTTTGTCAAATCATATCCTTTGCAATCATACAAACCTTTTTCATACAATACTTAACATCACTAATGAAATTAGTGTCCATTAATGGGATTGAATTCATCGAAAGCTATGGAAGTTAATGATTCAGTGAAGAAGTTTGTCGACTCTGTTATATCGGACAACAAAGTTGTGGTCTTCTCAAAGATTTACTGTCCTTTTTGTTCAAAAGCCAAGAAGGTATTAGAAAAGTATCCCATTCTTGACAATCAATATGTTGTCCTCGAGATTGAAGATAGAGACGATTGCAATCAAATTCAAGAGTATTTAAGACAATTAACCGGTGCTTCTTCGGTATGATATGTTTGCCCATAAAGTTGGTGACAATATATTAGTTTATACTGTATGTCTTAATAGGTTCCCCGAGTCTTTATCAATGGTAATTTCATCGGTGGTGGCGACGATACGGTCAGACTGGACTCAAGCGGAGAACTCGGTAAAAGACTGGAGGAATGTCAGGCTTTGAAACAAAAGTTATGAATTCAATAGACGTTTGGTTTTAATATTTTGAATTTCTCAGTAGTTTTCATTTTTTAAATTTTATTGTAACAAAATTTTAATATCTATACAAATTATAATTACGGTAAATATACTATTACGGTAATAAAAAAGTTTTTCAACAGTTTTTAGTAAAAATTAAATTCAATATTTACAGTAAGTTTTTGCTTACTTTTATGGTTGAAAACACTTATCAATCACTAAAATAGTGAATGTGAACAATAGTTTAGTTATTGATATGTGTTTTCAACCATAAAAGTAAGCAAAAACTTACTGTAAATTTTATTAAAATTGTGAAAACAACTAAAAAGTTATGAGAAATTCAATATTTTTATATTAACAATGTATTAGTTTAATAGTTAGTAAAAAATATAACTCATATATTACTGTAGTATCAGTCATGTATTTTGTCAGTCTATAACTTATTTATTTAATTTACACAAAGATTTTGTAATTGTCTACAAATATTAATTAATAAATTTTATTAAAATAATGTTAGCAATTATTTATACAAAACTAATTTATTGGAAAATATGTAGATATTTTGTATATTTATCAATATCTTTACACAGTTTTTTAAATAAAATGACCATACTCTTATTTTACTAAAGTAAATACTGTATTTATATTATGAATTTTAATGTTAATAATTTTAGAGTAAAATAACACGATTTATAATTAATGTTTTGATTTCAAACTAAAAAAATAATTTGTTGTTTCAACGCTTTAGTTGACACTTAGTATATCCACTGATAGACGTTTAATCAAATGGACTCTATTCCCGTAGTTTTATTATAAGTATAAATAACTATTTGATGGGTTAGCAAAAATACAAAATATTAATTACAAAAATTATATACTGTAATACTATAAAATGTTTTTAATTCATATTATTTTTTGTTTACAAGATAACAATAATTTGTATATTTGTGTACATTTTCTTTGTAAATATTATGAAAAAGTATAAATAATAAGTTTTATCTCATTTGCAAATATTTAAAAAATGAATAACTATTTCAATAACTATTTGACTTTTTTTAGGCTACTATTATAAAAACTAATAACATATTTTTTCTAAATTAAAAAATATAAAGCCTAAGATTTTATGAAAAAATTAAAATATTATTTTAACCTCCAAACTAATCTAAATTAATGTAATTATTTGCAAATTAAAAAAATAAATAACTATTTGAATAACTATTTAGCTTTTTTAAAGAAACTATTATAACCACTATTTTATACTGTTTAAATAATTAATAATCAATACATTACTTATAATAATATGATAAATGTCTTTTTAGTCAATAAAATTATAGAAAATGATTACAGGTCAATTTTAATATTTCAATAAATAATAATTCAAATAAAGGTTTTTAGTGTTATATACTGTATAGTCAATGATATTATTAATATATATATATATAAAATAATAATAAATGCTAATATTTTAACAAAACTATAATCAATAAATTAGTTTAAATGTTTTTTTTTGTCCAAAATTTATGAATATTTGTTTATTTTGATTCAAATGACTATACAATACATAACTTAGTATTCTTAATCTATTGAAAGATTTTGATAAATAATATTCAATACTTAAATATTTTGAATGTTTCTAGTTTTTACAAAACTTTTGAAAAAATGATATATTAAAATATAATATTAACTTGTGTTAAATTAAGATAATAAATTAAATTTAATTCATGTACTTTAAATTCTACTAAATTTATTTCATTAAATCTATTTTAATCTTTAATAAATTATAATATATTACATAACTTATCGTATGGACAGAAAACAGACTACTAGTAAAAAAAATTTTATGAATTAGAAAAATATTTTGTTTTTATTAATTTATAATCTATTATATATTATGGATCTATAAATAATTTTAAAATATCTTTTATAATTTAATTATTACAATCTTATATAATCAAAAATTTAAATAGTTTTAAATAGTTCAAATAGTATTTACCACTATAGTACTGGTAAATTATTTTTACAAATCTATTATCGTATTTATATATATTTAAAACATTTATTAATACCAAAAACTGCATCAATATTATTTGTACCTTGAATTATCATTATTAAAATTTTTAACGCAATACAAAATCTATATAATTAATATATAAAAGGTATAACTAATACAATCATTATTTTAATAAAATAAAATAAATATATTGATTTATGTAATGTCTAAATTCCAGTTTAATTTGCAATTAATATATTTTATATGTCTGTTGATTAGTATAAAGTGCCATTGATTTGAGGTATTATTGCTATGACTTAAAGACAATTGTTGTTTAATAAAAATCTTTTCGGACTCTTTTAGTTGAGTCGACTCATTTGCAAACCATTGATCAATGGAAACTAAAATAAATCTTCTGTGAATAAATAGTGATTCCTGATCCGTATATAAGACCAGCAAATCGTTTAATAATTTCAACTCTTGTTTAAGAAGTTTATGATAATTGCTTTTCACTTCATTGGACACAACACCAGAATTGTTGTCAGTAATCGAAATGAAGTGTTTGTGAATGTATTGAAACAAGTATTGTCTGTATTGATAACAACTATAGTCAGAAACATGACTTTCTAACCAACATTTGGTTATCATTAGTTCACAGTTTAATTTCTAAAAAATACAGTAATATATAATTTTTTAAAAATATAAATTAAATATAAAATGTAAAGTATTTACATCAAGTGAATTATTAAACAAATTTTCAATAATCCAAATACGATGACTCCATGAATGATAATTTCGATGATAACGACTGGAAGTGTCTAAAGTGACTCTTAACTCATTTGTTATCAATTCATCGGAAAGCGTTTCAGATTTCATAAAATATTTTAAAAGCCATTGACTAAAAATTATAAATGTCTTAATAAATTAAATTATTGATTAAACTGCAAAATACCAACCGATGGGCAAAATTATCAGCCGATTTGGGTTTTCTGGTCAGTAATACTTCAGAAAATCTTAATTCAGTTAACACTTTAATGAAACCATTTTCTATCAATTCTTTGCTATTATTAAAGTAAAACAAAATAAAATCAATTAAATACCAATAATAATGACATTTACCGCGCGCTCCAAACAGTCGTCAGATCGGGATTTAGTAGAAGTAGTGTTCGCGTCCATTCATTTATTTGGTCGTGACCTACAAGTAAAATAAATTTCGGTAAATATTACTATTAATTGAACTACCATTTGGTTACCAATTCGGTTGTTGGCTGTCCTCAAGTCGACAAACTTATGATAAATGTATTGATATAGATGTCGGACACACCAACTTTCGAGACCCAATCGGTGATCGACGTGAATGACTGGACTCTTGTTGGACACCGAGTCCTCAATAGGGATGATATCAAACTCTAAACTATCAACAATTAAAACCAAAACATTACCATAATTTCAATTATCATATGTCTTAAGCAATGTATCCATACATTTGTGGATCTCTTTTAAATATGACATTCAAGTCGTGCAAAATTCGTTGACATAACGACTCGTTGGTCGCAGACATCACCGCAAAAGTGGTCACTCAATAGCTAGTGGTTCACATAAATGCAAACAATTTGACTATAATTTTAAAATGCATTTAAATATTAATATCCTTTCATTGGCTTTACTATCATATACTGTAGTCTACAGTACTGTGAATATCATTGAATTAAATGTATTAAAAATTTTAATATAAATAACAACAAATCAAATGAGGGATCGATTAATCAATGCAAACATTATTTGTTTTTAATTAGTTTTTGTTTCATACAAATGTCAATCAATTTTATTTATATTACAATAATTTTAATTATTATTGAAGTTAAATCAAAAAGTTATGTTAAATAAATAGTAATTTTCATTTTATTTGATTTAAAAATTATATTTCTATATTAACTGATAACTGATTTATATAAACAATAATATGTTTGAATACTAATTGATTACTTTATATCCAATTTAATTGAATTATTATTAATTTATTAATATTGTTATAAAATTAAACTATAATATTGTTTTAATAAATATAATATCAATGAATACAAATAGTTTACGATTAGATTTGGAGAAATTTATCAATTGGTTTGACAGTCAATACAATTACATTCATTTTAATCATCAAAGCGATGACCAATTGGAGACCAATCAATGCAAACACCATTTAAGTGATAATCTGAAAGACTTTGAGACAACTAAAAGACAGAAGAAAAACAAAGCTGTGGTCAATATTAACCACTTTAGGATACAATTGCAATCATTTTTGAAACTGTTGTCTCAATTCAAGAATTTGTTAAATGAATTAAACACTTGTATTGATTGTGAAGACGACAATAAATGGTTATCATTAGTGAATGAACTGAACCAACAAAAGATAGTAATAAGTGACCAATTGGTGACAATTAATCAAATGATTCCCAATGTTAAGTATAAAATTAATAAAAACCGAAGAAAAAGACAGCGAAAGTCAAAGGAAAAAGAGATACTGAAAAATATGAAAATTGATATAAATATTAATAGGAATCAAATTATTGGTGAATGGATCCAATCGTTGAACAATTCAAACGAGAAGTCAGATGATTACGAAAATGACTTAAAAAGAGAGGCAAACAAAGCCTTAAATGATGTGAAAAACAAAATAATGTCAACAAAAAAATATTTAAAAAGAGTGAATGCTTTAGAAAGACTAAGAAATGCACTGAAGAATAGATATCAACAACAAAGTGGTAAAGAAATGACTCCTCAAAGTGAAGAACTATTTATTAAAGAAATGAATCGATTAAAACATTTATTAAAAGATAGACTTGAAATGTATCGAAAAGAAGATCGAAGAATAAAATCAATGGTTGAACAACAAGAATGTGTTGAACAACAAAAAGATAATAAAAGTTTGTCTAAAAGTGAACTTTATTTATATGAATGTCTATTTGGCAACCAATCTATACATGACTTGAAAAGTGGATCTCAAAGCTTACAGAATATGATTAATATAAGGAATCGTTGGGACAATTATATTGATATACAATCGGGAACTCATATACCCATACATTGGGTAATACCTAATTGCAGTTCAAATGATGATTGGATTAAATATCAAATTCATTAATATCTTTAATTATAATACAATTCAAATATATTTGCAATCAATTGATTTATTCGTTGATTTTTATTGAAAACACATAAATTAAAGTTACAAATATTGTTCAAAAAACACATTTAACACAATAAATAATATATATTCATAATATACGTGTATTTGTTAAAACAATTTTTAAGTAAAATAATACAAAATTAAATAAATTTACTAAAAATGAAAACTTATTACAAAAAAAGATTGTCTAAAATGTATAAATAAATTGAATATTTATTATTAATTAAACTGTAATACAATATATAGACAGTCCCTTATGTTTGTTGATATAGTGAGCCATTGATATGAATTGTATGTAAATTATGATTCAATTGATTGACTGATTGATTGTTTACATGAATAACATTTCATCGATTTGACAGAAATGCCGGAAAAGAAAAGCAAAAGTGAGTCCAACGGCTCTGTTAACCAAACAATCGCCGATAAATGCAAAGTCAACGGTGAGACCAATTGTGGTCACAATTCAGGAAACACTTTAGTATTGAATCACGAAAGAGGAAGAAGTGCTTTCTCTCCCTATCGGGTATTGATTTGTTTATTATTAAATTTAATGAATCAATTGGTTCAGTGATTATAATTAAGTTTTATATGTCAGCCCTCAACTGTATTAACAAATCTTCAGCGCGGAAACATCCAAACGCAGACACCGACCAATTGGCCCGAAAGGACTATTCATGAGTTGGCAGCGATGGGAGAGTTGTTTGTTCAAAGTTTAGGTCAGAAATTATTTTATATTATTATATATATCTATAAGTAAATGAATGTCGTGTTTAAGATATATTTAATTATTAACTAAATTAAAAATTGTTGACATTTTTGATGTCATATGGCTTATGATAGGATCCTATGGATGTGCTATATATGGCCCGACTATGATATAAAAATGTCAACAATTGTTTAATTTACTTAATAATTAAAATTATTTTTTATTTACTGTTTCTTAATCACGACATTCACTCCTATCATAGATTAATATGATATCTGATTATCAAACAATAGACGGTGTGGTCATAGATGAGTTGGATGATCAAGGATTTAGTCCACTGCTTTGGGCCGCATCTTATGGTCAGTTGACGACAGTTAAGCTGTTGATATCAAAAGGAGCCGATATTAACATTTGTGGCAAACATGGAGAGACTGCTCTACTATTATCTGTGGCTAACGGACACATCCACGTACTTAAAGAGTTGATTAACAATGGAGTTAATATCAATGACACCGATGAGGTTTGACATTGAGGTTCAACTTATTTAAGAGGTTTCATAATATAATTAATTTGTTGTAAAGGATGGCAACTCAGGCCTTATGTTTGCTGCCTTTGGAAACCACGCTCTCTGTGCTAATGAACTTTTGAAAGCCGGCGCCGATATTACTGTTGAAAACAGCTTTTTGGACACAGCTTTCACTATTGCCATCAAAAAGAAGAGCAAACAGGGTTTGAATTATTTTAAACAATATATACAGTACTTTGACTTTATTTTCAATAATATATTATTTATTTATTTTTAGTTCAATTGATTCTTGAAAAACATATTCTTCAGCTCTTCAATTAAGTTCAACCGATATTTAATGTATTTTATTTTATAAATTTTAATTTATTATAAGTTATATTATTATTTTTACAATAATTGTAATATTAATATTAATCATTTTACCTATTATTGTTATACACTGTATAATACAATACTGTATTTATAATATTATAATTATTAATTGTTTTGGTAAGTAATGTAAGATAATATAATTAAATAAATAAATTGATACAAACATAGCATTCCTTACTGTATGTTAATTATTATTGTTTAATCTTTTAATCACCAAATAAGACAATTGAATGATGGTATTTATAGAAGAAATCATTAATACAACAATTGGCTAAATTCTAGTATACGATCCATTCAATGGTCCATTGATTAAATGCAGTTTTTAGTAACGAATGTCATTTAATTATAGTCAAAATAGTTTTTAACCATAAAATTTGATTAAAAGTAACATTAAAACTAATCATTTGATAGTTTCATTTCCATTATAATTAGGTTTAGTTTGTTGAGGCCAATACCAAGTTAAGTAACGCTGCGGTAAATATACGACTAGTTCTAGTATTAATTAAATTCAACATAATTTACAAAATTTAATTTAATAAATACAAAAATAAAATTATTTTTGATTAAATAATATAGTTGACTATAAATAAATGATCTTGATGCTAAAAAAACATTTATTAATGAAGCGTTTATTAGAGTAAAGGCCAATAATTAGTAGTAATATATTATACCAAATATTTGGCAAATACTGTATAATAAAAATTATTTCATTAATTATTGAATCTTTTAAAAATAATATTATTATTATTAACATTTATTTTTCATAACTAAAAGACAATTCATTATCAATGAGATAATCAATCAAATGATGAGATAATAATATTAATCAAAAGTTTGATTCAAAACTGTATTTCCAATTAAACAGTTATGCACTTAATATGCAACCCCTCAATGTTTAGTGTTGTTTGCATTGATTGTTAAAATATGAAAGTCAATGTATTTAAGGAATTGTGTTAATAAGGAATGGATTTATAAAACAATTAATTATTTGTTTATTTGTTAATCAATTTTTGTCATCAATAGCTCATCAGTGAGCTATTGATATGCCCTCTAATAAACAATTGTTAAATTAGTCAAAAAATTTGGCGCAAAAACACAATTTAGTCACAACTAAGACAACCACCGGATCAACACAATTGGGAACGAAATCAACGGTAAGTTTAATTACATTTAATAATTATATTAACAATTAATTAAATATTATTTTATTTTTTATCATTAGATTAGACATCAGTGGACACATTGACGACAACAATGGCTTCAAATAAGGTTTGAATTGTTTTTTATTTAATTTAGTAATCAATGGTTTACTGATTTGCTATTAAGGAATGCATTAGTAAACCATTGATTCACACATTTTTAAACATAAATAATGTAATAATAATATAATTTATTATAAAATAAAATAAATTAATTTATTATAAAATAAAATAAATTAATTTATTATAAAATAAAATAAATTAATTTATTATAAAATAAAAAAAATAATTTATTATAAAATAAAAAAAAAATTAATTTATTATAAAATAAAAAAATATAATTTATCATAAAATAAAAAATAATAATTAATACCGTATTACCAACAAATAATATATTTTTTCAATTATAATGTGTTTTTCCAATATGTACCGTAATACCAACACATATTATGTGTTTTTTCAATTATAATGTGTTTTTCCAATATGTACCGTAATACCAACACATATTATGTGTTTTTTCAATTATAATGTGTTTTTCCCATATGTACCGTAATACCAACACATATTATGTGTTTTTTCAATTATAATGTGTTTTTCCCATATGTACCGTATTACCAACACATATGTGTTTTTTCAATTATAATGTGTTTTTCCAATATGTACTGTATTTTGGTAATACGGTACGTTTATATATTTAATAGTTATTTTAATTAAAATATTTTATTTAAAAAAATTTTTATTTGAGGTAATACGGTATCATTTTTATATTTATTTTAATAAAAATATTATATTTTTTTAAAATTTTATTTGAGGTAATACGGTATCATTTTTATATTTATTTTAATAAAAATATTATATTTTTTAAAAATTTTATTTGAGGTAATACGGTATTTTTAGTTTATAAAATATTTTTTATAATAATATATTATTTAATAATATAAAACAATATATTAAATATTACTAATTATTTATTTTTTTAGTCACGTTATTGATGTCCATTTTGGTTGATATTAGTATTTTCTATTCTTTATATTAAAATTAATTCATTCCTTAAATACATTGTTTAACATAGTTGCTATAAATTGAATGTTTAATTAAATGAATAATTAATAAAAAGTGTAACAATTGGTGACAATTAAGTTATAATAATAAGCAATAAATAATTGTAATTAAAGTTACAATCAATTTGATGCCATAAGTCATGCGACTAACTGTCCGACTATTAGCCAGTTATTCAAAACTACCGAAGCGTTTCTCTAATTTTCCCGAAAGATATGTCAAAAAGCAGACAGAGTTTATAGAGTGGCGGACACCGCGACTAATAAACTATAATCCGAGGACAGTTCGGTGGCGGAAACGTGCCTATTATGATATGTCGAGGCCGTGGACCGATGAGTTTCAGCAATTGAATGCACCAAATGTGGACATTCCCACCATTTTTGTTGAACCCATCAAAAAGTTTTATATATTCAGAGGAGATAGGGTTGAGATATTGGTCGGTAAAGATAAGGGCAAACACGGAATTGTCAACTATGTGGTCAATGAACGCAATTGGGTTTGTGTCGAGGGTTTAAATCTTAAGTTTGAATACCAGAGTAGAGATGATAATTACTACGGAGCACTTCTTTCCATTGAACAACCATTACTTGTTCCCAGAGATGTAGCTCTTGTAGACCCGTCTGACCACAAACCGACTAAAATTGAATGGCGTTTTGATGAAGAGGGCAATGAAGTTCGTGTCTCAACCCGTACGGGACGTATTATACCGATTCCCGGGTTGGCCGAAGAAACTCGGGATTACAAAACACCGACCACTTATCTAGAACAGGACAAAGACACCCGACCCGACCAACTGAAGAAAACTACTTTTGTTCCCAAAGTAAAGACATTTGAAATGGATATTATGGACGATATGGCCATCGAAGACGATAGAGTTCCATATCCTATGTTTTGGTATTAGTTTTACACATAAAGTCATTGTATTTGTAGTCATTAATTATGGTAATAAATATTCAAAATAATATTATTCAATAGTAAATACATTTGTATTTATTGATTCATCAAAATATGTTTAATTTATTAACCACACAATAACACAATTTACAAATAATTGATTTGTAATACGAGGTTAATAATAATACACTATATTTTAGTTTTAATAATTATTTTCTAAAGTGTTTTAAATTATTTCTACAAATATTTACAATAACTTCAGAATCTTTTAAAAGCATATAATTTAAACAATAAAATAAAACTAAAGATTTGCAATAAATTTACTTTCGATACCACATCTGGTTGTGATTCATACGTTTGATTTTCTTCTGTAACTGTAATATACCATAAAAGAGCGCTTCTGCAGATGGAGGACAACCTATTGGTGATAATATTAATTAAAGGATATGAATACATAAAACAATTCATCGGATGAATACCCGGCACATAAATATCTACGGGAATAATTCGGTCGCAGCCGCGGACCACTGAATACGAATAATGATAATAACCGCCGCCATTGGCACAACTACCCATCGATATGACCCATCGGGGTTCGAGCATCTGGTCGTAAACACGTCTCAATGCGGGCGCCATCTTATTGGTCAGAGTTCCGGCCACAATGATAACGTCTGCCTGACGCGGACTCGCTCTGAAAACGACGCCAAACCTGTCCATATCATAACGGGGGGCTGCGATGTGCATCATTTCGACAGCACAACAGGCCAGACCAAACGTGAGTGGCCATAAACTGTTTTTTCGGGCCCAATTCAACAAGTCGTCCACTCGGGCCAATGCAAACTCCGCTTTAGACGTCGGCTTTGGGAACGGAGAGTATTTGCCTTTTCTATCCAAAGGAAGTGTTGACGGATTCTTTCTGATCTCTTCCAGATCTTGTGACTCAATATTTCGGACCTGAGTTGTGGTCAAAACCAAAGAGTTTTGTTTGCATTCAAACAAAGCCCGAGTAAGTGAACGACCGATTCGACCGAAACTCACTGATTGGACAAAACAGTTGATGACATTCAAAGACATATCAATCATTTAAAAGTGTTATCAAATTGAGTGACAAAACTCACCTAAATTTGCCATTTCTTGGTCTTCACTGATATTATGATATCTTTTGATGAATTTATTGTAAACAATGTTTGCTTTGAAATCAATTTCAACACAAATAATGACTAAAATATGTTTCAATAGTTAAAGCATTAAATGATTGGAAAACATGTGCTATAAGTGGATGTCTTGTGAAGACATCAATTGATTATTACATCTATTATTGAATTTAATTATTAATACAATGATGAAGAAGAGGAAGTCAAACACATTTATCATCACTGATATGACTGACAATGAATGTCATAATAAAGTGGTAAATGAAGAACTAAAACAAATGACTGAAAAGCCAAACGTTGAGAAATCTTTGCAAAAACCAAACAAATCACAGAAAACGAAGAAAAGACAATCTGGTGACCAAAGTCTGGACATTAAACAGACAGAAAATAGTCGTTTAGAAAAACCGTTTAAAATAAATAAATTTTGGGAGAAATGTATGGAAAAACGCAAAGAAAAAGGTTTTACAATTTTGCCGCAAAAAATTGAAACGAAGATATATCTGATGAAAAAAGCTTTGAGACGTAAAAATCTATCCGAAGATGAAATCAGAGATATTGTACGCAAAAGACGTCGTGATGAAGAAATGAAGTTTGCGAAGAACTCGAAGGTATGCTTCAAATGTCGACGATCTGGACATATGGTCGCTGAATGTCCACAAAACAACTCTCCGGATGTGATCAATATATGCTACCGTTGCGGTTCAACGGAACACAATTTGTCTGAATGTCGTCAAAGTGGTGAACATTTGCCGTACGCCATGTGTTTCAAATGTAAAGAGACGGGACATATATCTCGTGATTGTCCACAAAACGAAAGGGGTATTTACCCGAAGGGTGGCTCATGTAAGGCCTGTGGATCTGTCAATCACTTAATCAAAGATTGTCCGATGAATGAAAAAGGTTTGTATGATAACTAAATTTAATTATATTTATTTTAATTAAAAATCTTTATTGATTCAGATAAAAAACTTGAACAAGAGATCACTTTAAGTACATTAGACACTCATCAGAGTCTCGACGCAGACTTATTGGATGTGAAACCTTTGGACATTAAAATGGAAAAGAAAAAAGTGGTTTCATTTTAAATAAATAAATAATATTTTAGTTTATTTTTATAGAAAATTTTATTTTATTTATATTCAATAAATTGTAAACTCTTTGAAACAAATACAGTATAAAATGATTAATTGTATCTCAAAAAATGCAAAAATTTAGTAATAATAATACTGTATAATGACATTACTGTTAGTTTGTTAGTAATGGATATAATGATTTGAATATTACGATTAATATTTATGACATATTTTTCATACGATAATAAAATAATGACAAACTGATTGATTCCCATTTGATAATTAAACATCTCATGACATTTTATTATCAAATTTATAAAAGATTTTAATTAATTATGAGGTATATTATAGGTTTATTTGATGGTCAAATTGAAACAATTGCATTACCGGAATTTTTAATTTAATTGTACTATTTTTAATTTATTATATTATAGGGTAGTATTATAACTAAATTTGATATTTTTTGCATTTTTATGAGAGACACTCTTTCAATATACATAGTGTTAGGTTATAATTAAATTATTAATATTTATAATAACAAATTAAACTTATAATAAATATTTGTACATAAGTATCAACATTGTTTTAATTAATGTATACTAAAAAATGATGATCATATTGTGCATCCCTTATATTATATATACAATATATTAAATATTTTAAATACTGTAAATTGATTTATCAAAAGATTGCATAAATTCATAAAAATATATATCAATTGAATTTTGTGTTTAAATAAGACGACGGCATTTGTGCGGCGTTTGGCTCAAACTGACAAACAGATTGCCAATTGTGGCCATTATTGCAACAGTCGGTCTCAAATAGGGAACAACAGACACACTCGGCGGTCGGTTTGTGAGAGTCGTCCACATAATGACAGCACTGATTGGGCTGACAGTCGACTTCCAGTTGCTGTTGTTTATCAAACATTGTATTCGGAAGGCTATACCTATGGGGCGACTCATTGGGCGATTCCAATGCATCCCTTCCTTTCATATCAATAATTAGCGTTTGCTTTGCATTTGTCTTACATTTTCTATTTTTGTGGACAATTGAATAGTAATCAGAGATTTCCGGTTTAGGAATCGACACGTATTTATATTTAGTGTCTTCTTTGCATTGGAAGGAAGTTGTCATCGATTCCGTGCTTTTGTTGAAAGCCTTAATTCTCAAGTGATCTTCAGTAGAGTTAAGACTTGTCATTTCAGCTGAGGTCATATCCATTGGTTCAGAAATTCGTTTACCATTTTTGTTAGTATGAATTAGTGCTACTTTTCTAAATATATTATCCGTATGTCCCGGAGTACGATCTTCAGCGGTATTTTGATTGAATCTCTTTTGCATTGCTTTATATAGTATAAAGACGGCCAAAATGCCGGCCAATAGCAGTATTACAGATATAACAACAGTGAACACAATAGGAACCACTTCGTTCTCTTCACTGACATTGTTGTCCAAATGTTCAACTGCTATGTGAACCGGTGAGTGACCTGATATATGGTAAACATTGTTTGGTAAGCCATAGGGATCGATATCATACTCAACAGCTGTAGTTCCGGCGCTATTCTTCATAATTACTTTAATTTTATAGTTTTTATTTGGTTTAAATTCACTGATAATAGCTGTTTCAAGAACTGAATTAACAAATAAAAGATTCCATTGATTTGTTTCCATTGGTTTCCACTGAACGATGGGATGTGAAGTGTACGGACATCCGCCGTCCTTCCAGATGTTGAGATTAAGCTTAACTGAAGTCGAGTTAATGCGATTTACGAATGACTTATATGGCGGTGATATCGGTTCCCTTCCAAGTGTCCGCACGTTTAGTATGTCTGATGGACTACTTTTACCATAACTATTGACATTAATCACATATATTTGATACAGATTTCCACACAACAAGTGCTCGATTGAAAACGTCTTATTGTTGTTTAGGTTCTCATCAGTTATGATATAATATTTCCATTCTTTACTTACACTACTTCTAAAGTATACCTCATGAGCCTTAACGGGTAGCACTTCCTGACCCCTTAATACCCATTTAATGATTATAGAACTGGTGGTAATGTTAACCACTTCAACAATTGGAGACAATGGATAATTAGAATTGGAATCTCTTCTAATGTTAAGCTCATAAGTGATTGCATCAAAACCATGAATATTGGATACAAGACACGAATAATTTCCGGAATCGTTAAGAGTTGTATTGGATATTCTTAAGGAGCCATTCATCAAATGTTGAAGTCTTGGATTTTTTGTATGACTAGTCATTTCAAACACAATACCATTTACTTTCCATTTAATTTCTGGTTCAGGAATACCAACTGATTTACAGAATAGTTCTACATTTTGTCCAATGGTTTCTTCAATTTGATCATCAAATGAGACTATTCTTGCAGAAACTTATAAGAATACAAAGTTAGTTAGATATTGATAAACATTATTCAAGAAATCTTACTTTTAGTGGCCATAATCACACTAACAATAGTACTGCTTCCTCCTTCACCAACAGATGTCCAGGCGGTGACCCAAAAGTTATATCTATAACCTCTTATTAAATTTGAAGTCTTATGGTAATTGAGATGTGAAGGCACTGTAAAACTATTGACCTCCTCTTCATTCGAGCTCTTCCTATAAATGGCATACTTTCTAATGACACCATTTGGTTGTTTTGGTGGTTTCCAACTAACGACAACAGAGTCGGGTCCCGATTGAAATGCTTTGATAGTGTCAACTAAAGCGGGCAAATCTTCTTGAGTCTTACAGAATACTGTGGTCGACGGCGAATCTCCGACATTATTGAAGGCAATGACAGACAGCGAATAATTTGTAAACTTTCTTAACCCATAAAGTGTTAGTTTGTTTTGTTGAGCCGTTACTTCATTTTTCATTAAATCTTTGGTATCAGAATCAGTTGGTCTATAATAAACTCTAAATCCCTTCAAAACTCCATTAATGTATTCGTCGGGCAAACTGTTCCACGATATAGATATACTTTGAGGTGAAAATGAATCACATGAGACACCTGTCAGAGCACTCGATGGTATACTTTCTCCGGTTCGCACAGTTATCTCATCAGATCGGGGACCGGCGCCCACATTATTATACGCCTGAACTATCACTAATTACATCCATATATAAAGTAAATAAAGGAATTAATTTTATATTATTATCACATTGAATGCAATCACAAATATAAATAAGTTTTAATGGGAAATGCTATTTGATTTAATGCTTATTAAAAGGTTTGTCCATTAAATAGATACCTGAATAGTATGTGTAAGGCCTCAATCCCTGTAATATTAGTGAGAAAGCATTGCCTAAATCCGGATTGCCTTTTATTTGAACAGTTTTATAGATAAACGGATCGTTTGTATTGAGAGCTTTATATCCGATATAAAATCCTTTCAGCTCTCCATTGATTTGATGTATTGGTGGTGAAAACCAGTCAACCTTAATGCTGTTGGCATCGATTGCCATCAATTGGACGCGTGTTGGAGGACCTGATGGCGACTCTTCTTCTGTTTGAAACTTAATTTCTTTTGATGGTCTACTTTTGCCAACACTATTAATACCATACATTACAATAGTATAGTGAGTGGACGGTTGAAGACCTCTAAGAACAGTTGAGCTAATGTTGCCAAAGATACTGTGATTATGCAATCGATGTAATGTTTCATTATCTGTATTCACATATTGTATCACATATTCACGTATCTCATCGTTTCCATCATAAGGCCGTTTCCACGACAGTGCTATTGTTTGGCTTGATTTAGATATAATGCTAATATCTTGAGGCGCTTCCGGAGGCTCTTTGACTATCACTCGAAATGTTTTGACGACTGGACTTTTCAAATATTCATTAATAACAATACATTTATAGATTCCTGAATTACTGTGCGATACGGACTTCAATTGTAACATTGAAATGACTCCCTCTTTATTCACTTCGTCTTTGATTAAATAATCAGAATTATGTGATAATATTTTGTGATTATTGAAAGTCCATTCAACGCTTATTGGATGATCTCCTATAATATTAGACACCAATTCAAGTGGATGTTCTTGAATGACACTTATATTTGTTAAATCTGACGACTCTTTGAATTTGGCCGGAATGTGAACAAACAGTTTGACTAAAGTACTCAAACCGGAACCGATGCCATTAGATCCTTGACATAGATATTGACCTTCATCTGCTTCTTCAACATTTGCTATCCTGCAAAACCAATTCAAAGTTTTTTAATATAAACTTATAATCGATTTTAGCTAATTATAACATTAATTAATACTGTATCATCCTATTAATGTCAGTTTTTAATTTTAGAAAAAATGTTATCAAAAATTAAACTTAAAATGAAAATTATATTATAATTTGATTAATAGTTAATAAGATTATGATTACAATTTTAAATTAAGTTAAGCTTATAATAATAAGATATTTATTGTTTAGAAGATGTTTATTGATGTAACAATGAATTGTATTTTTAGTGATTTATAAATATTACGATTAAACATAGTATATATATATTAAAAACCAATAAACTAATATCTAAGAGATCAAAGTAACAGACAATACATTAAACATTAATTATTTTTTATATTTGTTGGATAAGTTGATGGTATGGTATATAACTTACTTAAGCGATCCATTTTGGAAAACTTGATATTTAGGTCCACTCCTTATCAGGAGATACTGTTGATGGACTGCCATTGTGTTGGTTTCACCATTAAACGAGTCTTGCAGTCGTTTCCAAGTGATCTGAACAATGGGAAAGCCATCAGCAGAACAGTCTATTCTAACAGCATTTCCTTCAACTGTGTCAGTATTTTTTGGTTCAATTATCCACTTCGGAGGCACTGATAATACAAACGATTAAACATTAGTTTTTCAATAAAGAAAATACAATACACAGTCTCATCATCTAATGGTATGACTTGTAATGCATTGTAATTGTTATGAACTTTATTTTGTATTTCAATAACGTTTCTTAATCTATAAGAATGTGTAATTTTCAACAATATTTTTCAATTTCTAGTATTGAAATCTCAACTAACATTCATTTGAATATAGTTTACATTTGAGAATTGCATACAAATTTATTTGACAAGTTTGACGGCAATATAAGTCAATGGTTTACTATTAATAAAAAATATTATATAGAGAATAGTGGTTGATATACAATATATTTTTATATTATAAATATATTAGATCTACAAAAATTGGTTCAATTTTTCTAAACTGCATTTCAATTGGCAATGTTTTAATATAAACTTACAGAAAAAGTGAATTTAAAATTCACAGTATATTTCAATATTTTGTGAATATTTTTTATGTTTTATATAATATAGTATAACATGTTAAATGTGCATTCAATTGTAAACGCTATACTCTGTAATATTAAAATGTACTGTATCATATGTAATACTTATATATATATATAATCTACAATATACAGTATAACTGATGTTAATAATAATAATAAAAGATATATCAAATAAAAATGTCTGAAAAGTAATTGAATTAAACTATATATAGATTTTAGTGTAAAACTATAAGTAGAAATTCATAAATTTTGAGATATCTGAAAATTGATAAAATATCTTTTATAAAATTTTCATCAAATTATTTGATTTAAATAAAAGTGACATGGTCAACTAAAAAATTAATGATACTTAATGTTGTTTTTACATTTATATTTCTACATACACATTAGACTTCTTATAATTATAGATTGTAGTATAGATTTTTAGATTATAAGTTTTATAGATTTTTCAAAGTAACTAATCAATGTTACTTTATTAAATTAATTACAAATTATCTAAAAATAACTAATTATTGTTTGATTATTATTATATTAACACATAATATTTAGAATATATATATATATATATATATTAGATAATAAAATTTAAATAATTTATCAAATTTGAATTTTGTTCAAATATTTGTCAAATATAAATAATGTTATAATGAAATAGTATTTATATTATTAATTTTATAATAATTTGTTTTCATTTCATTAATTAATTCTCAAGTGTTTTGAATACAAATAAGAGATTGAATTGTAGTGAACTTGAAATCTTATAAATTTAATTATAGCTCTCAAAACATTTTAACAAGAGATCAATGTTTTTCTAATATTATAAAAGCATACAAAACTTAATTAGATATAAACTGTCAAAACTTTATATTATATATAAATTTTATATTATAGATATGGGCAGCAAAATAATGGATATAACAAAATAGCTCTTAACATAAAATAGGCTTATTATATCATATTAATAATTCATAGTAAATATAATAATTTTAAATAAAAAATAATATTAATTAGCATAATTATTATAAAGGAAATTTAATTTAAATATTAATTAATATTATTTTTGCTATTTGAAGTATTGTCTCAATTAATTTTAAACAAATGAACTGCAATTATGAATTAAAACATAAAAATTATTAATATTAATATTATTATTATTTGGTAAAATTTAGAAGTAAAAAGCTATAAAATAACATATTTTATTAAACGTTTTACTAATACTATATTACATAAAACTAATCAATAAAACGTTTTCTCAATTGTATTCAAAAATATATAGCAATTTTGTCAATATTCTCATTATTACTCTTTATTATGTATGCAAACATTTTTATATATAATAAGATATACATTTTTAAATGTATTAAAATCAATTTTTTCTATTTTCTTCAAATATATCTGTTTTTCATATTTGGTATATATATGTATGAAATGAAATATTATTGATATATAAATCTGCACCAAATAAGACTTATATGACTTTTTATATCAAACTTAAATATCGGGTTTTCAGCACATAAAGTATTGTACATTATATTATTGTATTGACTATTTGGTAAAAATATGAGAAATCACTTGAAATATAGTGTGAATTCAAATCAAATTCTTTTAGCGTTTATTTTATTCATTTGAGTGCAAAAATAAATAGTGAAATACAGTGAAAGTTTCAATACTTCGGCACAAAATAAACGAAAGTTCAAAATAATTTCAAACTTTTGTTGACTTTATATAAAAACACACAGAGAGTGAAATCCATGAATTTCATCAAATTTAGATTAAAATTTAATGTATAACTCATTTAATGTGTGTTCAGAGAAAAAGGAAAATATATTTTAGAAAACTAATCATTTGACAAATATATGATATAATTTTTTAAGTAAAAATATTTAATATTCTAAACTAAACTTTAAATTTTCATTTATTTTTATATATCACACATAGAAATACTTTATCTGTATATCATTTTATCAAATAAAATAAATGCATAATAAAATATAGATAGAGATAAATAATGTTTTGAAACTTACCATTGACTACAAGATATGAATTGTAGCTAACAGTGGCCGCTTCATTGGATGCCACACAACTGTATTGATTTATATTATATATAAAATTTAAAAATGATTAACAGTTATATATATTATATATATATTCAGTATACTGTATATAATTAGTTAAAAAAATTAATTTTTATATAAAATTCATCAGTAAATGAGTCAAAATAATAGACATTAATGTTTGTCATATATTACTGTAATATATGATTGCTATGTTATTCTGAAATTATTTATAGTTAAATTAGTTTTGCGTTTTAGTGTTTCGTTTAACTTTAAATGCATAAAAGGTTGAAAATCATAAGCTATGATTAGGGTATAAAAAATAGACTATAAGTGTATTCAAATGTGACGAATGGGATGACAGGTTTAAACCTAAATTATAGTACCAGTGGTTAAGTCTTTTAATGCCTTACCTATAATTCCCATTATGTATGGCTGAAAGGTTTGCTATGGCGAGTGACAAGGAATAGGGATCCACTTCTTGAACAGTTATGCCATCATCTCGAGCACCAGTAGATAATAACTGTTCATCTTTATAGAACTTTATGCTAACCGGCTGATCTCCCTGTGCAACATTACAGTAGATCCTAGTTCTCATTCCAGCCTCTAATTTATTATTAAAACTAAAGCCCTCAATGACAGGCGGTACTAATGAGAACAACAAAAATTGATTTTTCAATTTAATTTATAAATATATTAGTTTTACTGAGAAATCATAAATATTTTAAACAAATAATATTTGAATGCATCGCAAAAATAAATAACATTTATCTAAACAAACCTTTAACTTTCATTTTGAACGACTGCTTCACAATATCGGAGTTTTTCTCACCGAAAGCAATGCACGTATATATGCCTTCAAAACAAACATTTGGGAAAAAGAGTTTAACATGAATTTTACGGCTAATTTATTTTGGACACAAAAGTATAAACATTTATATAGTTTTTATAGTTTTTGGTTGACAATTACCGGAATCACTTTTGTCCAAATGTTGGATCTCAAGAGTTCCGTTTGCCTGAACTCGATGGCGATGATTAAGCGGCAGTTTTTTGTCATCTATAGGTATTTACAATAATATTTTTAAATATAATTTTAATGTTAAATTCAAAAATTATATATAAATAAATAATAATAATAAAACTTGTTTTATAATAAAATTATAATAACTTGTTTTGTATATCGAAACTCCACATTTAGTACAGTATTGTATTATATATAATATAATCCTGTATACTATGTATACAAAAAACTAAATGAATGAATGAATAAAAATGTGAATAATTTGAATGAATAGCTTTGAATTTCAAATAAAAATACAGTAACTTATAAATTGCATTAAAATTTCTCTCTCTCTCTCTCTCTCTCTCTGATCCAACATTTCTTTTTAAGAAAAATACCACAAATTAGAGTCAAATTTGACGTTTCATTTATTATAGTCTAACGTTCATTGAATGCAATTCTCATCTCATTTACAGATAGCGAAAAGATATAAATATAAAATTTAGCGAACAATACAAAAGATTTTATAAAAATGGAAAACAAATGCTTTTAAAAAGATAACAATTTTAAGATTTATTTGTTGACAACTAATACAAATGCTTTAAAACAATTATTAATTGCAACGATTTTGGTTAAGATATTAAACATTGTAAAAATGATATCTTTATTCACAAGTTTTTTCATCTTTTTCTACTAAAAAACAATGAAGTTTTAGTAATATTTAACTTTTAAACAATTAAAACACATTTGTGTACATTTATTTAATATTTAGTATCTAATAGTATAAAATATGCAAACACTTATTTTTTAAATATCTTCAAAAAATATCTTTAAATTATTTATAATAATCATTATAATAATTTTTATAGAGCTTGTGATTTTAAAAAATAATAATATTTAAATTAACTTAATTTAATAAAGTACTCAATAGTTATTATTAAATACACTTCAAATAAATTAGATTGTTAAATTTTTCAATAGTTATCAACATAATTTTAATTTATAATATAAACTATGATAGAAAGAATATTTAATTTTATATAACTAATTTGATTATATCATACTTTTAAATACTTAATTAATTGAATTTTTATATTAAAAATATTTTCTGTATTTCTTGACTCTAATTATATCTAAGAAATGTTTAATAATTCATTATTAAAATGTAAATTAATTTTAATTGAGTTATTTAAGAAAAACGTGTTTTGAGATAGATTTTATACTTCATAATTAAATATAACTAAATTATCTAAAAGTCATTTCAATTTTTAAATTAATTTCTTTTAACACAAATTATTTTTGTATTAAATCTTTTAAAAACTTTAATAGTGGGTAATTGATTATATATTTTTAAAAAATTTTGATAAAATTTTTTATTTACATTATATAGAATACTGTATATTGCAAAACAATACTCAATAATAACTTTTATTTTTAAGCATATTTCTTCTAAAGATTGCCTTTCACTTTGAGTTTAATTTTTTACTTTTATTTTTTTAACAAAAACTATTATTTTTTCCAATCTATAAATAAAAACTATACTTTTTAAGAATTTAAAAAAATAAATGTTAAGAAAGATAGTATAGACTTCAAAATCAATCACAAATTATTGGAATTTATGTAAGTTTTGGATGACTTCTCATGGCTTCTCATCCATCAATTTAACAACAAAACGGACCTCAAAATCAAATTTAAAAATATGGATAAAAAAGAAATGAATTTAAAAATTTTTGAAAAATCATCAATTGGTTTAATGTATTCAATAAAACATCAACAAAGTATATATAATATTATTAATTTATTAAATTCAATGATTTTTTTACTTCAAAATATCTTTTTTATTTAAATGTTTACATCATTTAAAACTCGAGTTTGTTATAATAAAATGTCTACATTTTGCATATTAAGTGTTGTGTGAATTATAATACATTCTGTAACACATTTTTTCTTAACATTTTTTTACACAAAATATTAAATCAACAAATATGTAAAATAATGTTTAGTTTTTAAAATAATATTTTAAAAAATAATTTGCCTAAAATTAAATTAAAAAGTTCATTTACTGCATTTGTCGTTAACTACACATTTTTTTATATTATAGTTATAATAAATTAAAAATTAAAAAAATTATAGTTTTTATTTAATATACGGTATAATGGGTGCTGTTTTTTACACTTTATTTAATTAAAATAAATTTCTCGTTTAGTTTTAAAAAGTGAAAATCATTTAAAATGACACGAATTTCAAAAAATTTCATCAATTAAATATTTTTTCTTTTATAATAACCATTAATATTGTAGCTGTTTATTTTGATAGTTATAAAAAATATTGTGTAACATATAAATCACTTAAAATTAATGTTTGTATTGATTTCTAAACTGTTTTATGATAAGTCAGTTAAGTTATAACAATGCAAAACAATAATATTGCAAACCTTTATGCCATTCAATGAGTTTGGGTTCATCACCGACTGTCGGACAATTAAGTTTGATATCAGTCATTGCCGTTAAGTTTTTGTTATACATGGGTCTTATTTTTGTAGGTCCGGCTACTCTTATGTTGGCTGAGTGTCGGGTGACACCAGCTTTGTTACTGAGGACACATTGATAGGTTCCCCCGTCAAACACTGATTGGACAGTAATGTTTAAATAACTAACAATCCTATTTCTCTCGACGATATATTCATCAAACTAATAAATTGGAAAATAAAATACTTATTAACTAATATAATAAAAACAAATTATATATTTAACGAGTTAGTGAGTAAAAGTAATAGCAATCAATCAATCAATAAATTTAGTTACCAGTGCTTTATGTAGAGTATATGGTTCTTGTTTTCTATTGTCGAGTTCAGTATTATCGACAAACCATGTAATCATTGGGATTGGATGTCCTGTGCCGACACACTTGAGAGATATCTTATCGTCAATTCTAACGTTGTGATCGTCAAACAGTTCAATAAAATAGGGTCGAAGTAGACCTATATATTGATGGGTTTGTGGGATGGATGTAGTGGTAGGGATAAAGATGTCTAAGTAATGAGTTTTAAATAACATTTACTGCAATACCATACCATCCATACCATCAACAATTAATTGAGTGCTATCTATAGCCGACTCTTCACCAGAATTTAATGCCAAACACTGCCAAATGCCTAAACAAGAAATATATATTATAGCAAACAATCTAATGATTGCCTATTTATTTAATGGCAAAACAAAATCAATGTTTTTCTTATTACAATAACTACAGTAATACTACAGTAATATCACTAATATATTAATTGTAATTTATGTCTTAAAATATATCATTTATTAATGTTAACAGAATGTCATAAACTAGTATTATAATAATAAAAAGTTTTATAGACTGTGATTATTGATTTTATTTGACATTAATATCTTTTTAAAAATATAATTGCAGTACATAACAAATTATGTTATTATATTATATATCATAGTTTGCATTGCATATACTGTAATTGTAACTGATATGTGATTAATATAATTAATTGTTAGGATTATATAAACAATCACATGTAAGACCATTTTCAGGAGCCTTATAATCATCCCGTGGGACAACCTATGCCTTATATCTTGAACCTAACTGTGCCACTCATATACGGCTAATCCCTAATAAAAATCCAAATAAAATGTGTAACTAAGCAATGATGTGCAGCAATACCACAGTCAGGATTGAGTTTGAAATGTTGATCATCTTTGAATTACTTCAATAGACTAACGGTGTCAATGCATTGGCAATAATAGTGTAAATGTCAGATACAACTACTATTAAGTTGATATATACTTGAAATGCACTCTATATATATACAGTGATGCTGTGAGGGCACACATCATAAGCTTTTGATAGAGAAACGTATGATTGTTTGGTGTACCCATTCATGGCATTCACATCACTATAATACCATTTACTCCATCAATGTCTATACTATGCTGTTTATACCGTACTATCAATATCTACACACAACACACACACACACACACACACACACACAAGCTCTCACTCACTCCTAGCTATCAATACTTGTATAACAATTTACTCCTTTTCCCAATAGGATAACTATTTATGTAATAAAACTAAATGTAAAGTAATGTTGGCTAATGTCGGACCTTATGCTTTGCCTTTTAAGCTAATAAACATGTAAAGCATTAGATGTTTATAAGTCATACACACCCACCCATTCATTTATTGCTATCATTTTTATCCAATTTTTTGTTGTATCATTTCTACTGATAACACAAATGTTGTTTCAAAGCAATACAATGCAATAACTATTAAATGCCAACTCTCTCTCTCTCTCTCTCTCTCTCTCTCTCTCTCTCTCTATTACTTGCTCACTCACTCACTCACTCACTTATTTATTTGCTGACTCACTCACTCACTCCCTCTCTCACTAGAACTTTTCATTGCATTCATTTTGATTAATAATAGTTGCGTGAATTGACAATTTTGTATAAAAAAGTGTTTGATGACATACCCTCACACATATATACTAAGTTACTATCTATTGATATGTCGTTTTGTATTAAAAAAAAAATTTCAAATGAGATTTTTAGCGTATGTTTATTACAATTGAAGCATTAATTAAGATTTAAATGATTGCTTTGAAAGTTTCAGTAAACGAGAAGTTTTATGCAAAAAAATAATACAAAAGAATTGAATTGAAAGAATCGATTGAATTAAAGTAATCAACAAAAGGCTTACAGTTATAGCCAAATGCCGTCACTTTTTACCGAAGGCTTTATTCTAATTAATTTACGACAAAATATATGCATTTAATTCTACTATCTATACAATGGTCTACACTATACTATATATGTATAAATTTTATTGAAACATAATATGTTGTCATATATTGGCAAACGATGAGAATAACAAAGACCCGGTTCACGAATATACATCATATATAGTATATATGCTTATTGTATATTATATGCTATCTATAAGTTATATAAAATTTAGTATATATTATACTTAATATGTGAAATCCATGAGCCGTAACTATACATCTCCTTTGTGTACATCTCTATTACGACCATTTTTCTGATTAACTATTATTAGTCAACAAAACACATGAATCACATTATAATAGAGTGAGTGAATTACATACAACTGTTGTACATATATTGCACTAAATTCATCAGATATGACTGTCTATTATGAATATTTACTCATATATGTTATATAATATAAAGTATAATATATAAATGAACATAATTGAAATGTTGCTCTATATTGCATATAAAAAGCCAGTCATATCCATCAGGTTCACTGCCTAACCCCTAAAATTCATAAATATCTTATCAAACTCAGGGCATAAACTTTGATATTATCTTTTAAAAGGGCATAAAATTCTAATATATATTCCCCAAAGCTGTAATATTTAATATATATAAAAATATATATATAAACTTAAATATATAATATTTTAACTTAATTGATAAATTTATTAAATATATTTTTATTAGTTATGAATAATAGATATAAAAATAGTAAATAAATTTAGACAAAAATCCCTTTAATATAACTTATAATATACTTAATCTTTTATTAAATTTAATCAATCAGACACATCACTTAGTATATCATCTATTAATTTCAATATTAGTACACTCTATATATATATATATATATACCTGTATAATACAGTATAAGATTAAAATTAATAGTTAATAAAAGTTAGTAAATTGTGTTTGTGTGAGAATAAACAAATATTTAATATTATTAGTTAGTTTTAACAAACAATAGAATAATAAAATGGTTTATAATATGAAAACTTGAAATTTGTTAGAAAATTGTAGAGTTGTTGAGTGATTTGAATTCAGATCACATGAGGAACTCCTAACATCAATGATTGTCTATTTCAGTCCTCACTTGTCACACATTTTTCCCTTTATAATCAATTGGATGTCTTTATCTATCTGTGCCAATACTATTCAATAACTGTGTTTTTTGTTGTTTTTTCTTTCTCTAACTCTATTATAATGTTTATACGTATGTATTAACAGTTATTTCTCAAACAATTTATTAGACAAAAGTTAACAGTTATTCATAGATCGTCTTATAGTTTATATTTGGTGAACATTTTGGAGCCATAGTAATGGCATGAAGTGTCAAATATTAATATTATAGTTGACTTTCTCATTAAAAGCCATAGAAAATGCTGAGTAAACAAAGACACACTTTGTGTAACAAATACTAATATTACATATAGTGACCGTTTTTGAGACCCGTTATGTAATAAATGTGTTTTACTGTAAAAATAACTGAATGTTAGCTAAATATATGTCTTTTTTCATTGACATTCATTGTGTATAAAAAAACTAAACAAACACAATATCAGAGCTAAAATATACTGTACTTTATTTGAGTCTATAAACAACTATACTGTATATATTGTAAATACAATACAAAACATTTATACTGTTATAAAAAAGTATACACAGTATTGTCCTAAATCAGCACTTTTTGGACCAACAAATACAATACACATTTTCTCCATTACCTATTTGGGTGATAAATCTCAGATACGATTGTCTCTTCAAACTCAATGATAGACAATATACAGTATGATATGTCTGTATATAAACGGTATAAATCAATGTATATACAGTATTATGCAGTAGTATGCAATATGTACTGTATATAAGACTGTGTTTTTTAAATCATATCTCAATTTCTCATTTATTTTCAATACACATTACTCTGTATTATATTGATTTCTATGAAAATTGAATGAAAATATATCTTTTTATGTTTTAAAAATTATATACTATTGCCTCAAATATTATACGCTAAAAACGTTTTTTAGACATTTTGATAATGCAGAGGACGGTCGGGTCTTGAGAGTGACGTTTCCATCAAAGTGTTATCAGTGAAAAATTATCGGTTTGCCTCAACTCACTAACAAAACGTGTTTGCATCGTATAGTCAGTCGTACACAACCAAAGATATAATAGTCATCCCTTTCCCCACACTTTTCAGACTAACAGACAATATATTATAATATTGCATATAATATAGCAGTTATCCTCAGAATGCATATCACTTTATAAACTGTTTTACAAAGAAATCAATGCCTTACTATATAAATAATATTATTGAATCATTTAGACAACAACTTAAATGTTTTTTTCGTTTTATTATATATTTTCAAATATATATATATAACAACATTTGCATAATTTTCTTTAAATATTCTCTGCATTTCTCACTATAAGCTTAATGTCATATAGTATTTGGTTCAATGCAAATCCAATATAACATATTAAGTATGTATATGAAATCAGTGACAAAATAGGAGGCAATAATTTTTTAGTAATAACTTCTCTGTTAAATGGAATATAATAAAAGTATTTTAGTCTTAATTGTGGTTTTTGCATCAATACATTGTTATATAATGATTGAAAATACCGGTATGATAAGTCAAGGATGTATTACACTATCAAAAACTATGAAATAATTAAATTATATAATCGGAAAAATATATTTGTTAACAAAATGAATAAATATGTGTATTGGTAATTTAAAAATTTAATAATTTAACGAAAAAAAAAATAAAAATGATCTCGATCATAAATAAATAGTGTATTTAACATAAAACAACTTATTTATTTAATATTATTTAGAATATTAGAAATAATTATTTTCTTTGTAATAATTGTCAGTTATTATAATTAAGATCATTAAATATAATAAATATTATTTAATGAATAATTATAAGAGTAGTTAATTATCGAAAAATCATTTTTGCCTATTTTGAATCAAATGTTATTGTATTGATTGTATGTACTGTATATACAGTATGTATTGCATAACTTGATATCCATAGTACAGTATAATCATATATTTGAAACATTGAATGCAAACTACTTGTTCTATTGCAGTAAAGTGTCATTTCAGGTGTCGGTGCCCTTAGACTACATTGACTTTTGTTAACTTTGCGTTTATTATACTGTAATACTCTATACTTATTCCTTACTATTCACTTAACTTTGATGTCTAACAATATTAATGCAATAGACGTTAATGTATACAACAATATTGCAAAATATATAAGTTG